ATCCTCCTATCTCTCTTGAAGTGTTTAATGGGCAAACAAGGTAGGGAAACATTAACTGGCGAGGTTGTATTTTGGTCGATGGATACCTCACACTTCAAACAAAGTTCCTGGGAGTCGTAAATGGGATTGTGATGCAAATGAAAGTGTTTGCCTGTGTGTTTGTATGTTCCCTCAGGACTGGAGTAGAGAGTGACAGTTGAGACGCAGGTGGTAAAGTTAGTCTAATCAGACAGAGTGGGTGGTAGGCCTATAGCAAATCAGGGATTTGGCACACCACCCCAGAGACCACTTTACACTATACAATGTCCAGCTACCTCAAGAGTAGTGATCTGTGATGGACATCACTGACTGCCTCTGCTCAGATTTTTGAGTTTTGTCCTTGCACTTCTAGAGTCTGGTCATAAGAGTCTTGAATATTGAACAGGTATACCCTAAATGTTCCACTAGTGCATTTTTTTCTTTTTCATTTCGACCTGCAATGTACCTGCAGTGCTACCAGGCCATTAACCCCTTCTCTCTCCTGTTCCACAGTTCTCCGTGATGACTTCAGACAGAACCCAGCGGATGTGATTGTGGCAGCGGGCGAGCCTGCTGTGCTGGAGTGCCAACCGCCCCGCGGGCATCCTGAGCCCACCATCTCATGGAGGAAAGATGGTACCAACATCAATGACCGAGATGAGCGCATCACGGTAAGACAAGCTTCGTTAGCCTCCGAGCACACTCTCTGTACAGAGCATGCACTGCACTGGGCCTGCACATCACACCTGCTCGTCAACACACACACACGCACACATTCAAATGCGCACACACACACCCCACTGCTTGCTGGTGCAGCTCCAGGAAGATCAAAGTGTCTCTGTTGGCAGACATGTAATAATGAAGAGAAACAAGTGCATCATCTATTTAACTAACATAATGAAATCATATTGTACTGTGATTTGGCCAATCAATGTCTATTTGGAACAAAGGCTATCTGTGGAAGCGTGCAAAGAATTCAGGGATGGGTGGGTGTGTGTGCGCTCACGAGCATGTTTGCTTGTTTGTGTGTCTGTATACACTCCAGGGGACTTGTGAGTTGGGATCCAAGGCTTATCCTCCTCCGGAGTGACAGGTAGTTTCTCTCTGAGGGGCTGTGATGGACAGAGCAGCTCTCCTCCGCACTGACGGGAGGGAGGTGTAGGAGAGGAGGAGGTGTAGGAGAGGAGGAGGGCCTTCTGAAGGAAATACAAAGGCTGCGTTGGCTTTGTACTTCCCTCTTATCTCCTCATTTACACCCATCTGCCTGCATGCCTGTTGTCTTTACCGCTGCTTGCATTTCCATAACGAAACCAATTTCACTACAATGTAATAAAATACCAAGTCCAATAAGGTCTTGTAGTGAAGTCAGGGCAGCCATGTTGGCCACAGTCCCTGTGGCATGTCTGTGGTTGTCCCTTGTGTACTGGCTCAGAGTGTAAACAGAGGGCCAGCTTAGTTTCTGCCTCATAGCTATTGCTCGGCTCACTGGACTAATGGGCCTGCAGATAAGACTGTTTCCTAATGAGTCCACAGGCCCTGTAAACAACGCAGCGCTTGTGTTTATGCTCTGTTTCTAACACAACATCCACTCCCAAAACTGTTGTTGTTTCTTAAACCACGTCGAGTTCCGGGGATCTGCTGTGGGATTTGGTGCTGCGAGAATGAACACATTGTGTGGCCAAGCGTTTGTTTTAAATTGATGGGGAGAGGGAAGGGGACTGGGCTTGCCAGTGGTGCAGAGCAATGCATCAACAGCAGGGAGGGAGGGTGCTGGTGTGTAGTTTCTGTACAGTTCTACAGTACTGTATATTGTAGCATAATATCCCACTACCACCCTATATTCACTGTGGTGGGGTCAGGTTGGTGGTGATGTGGGTGTCAGCTCTCCGTCCTCAGGACTGTGATTAACTCTAAAGGGGCAGTGTAGTTAGTGATGGGGGAACATTTTATACAGTTACATATCGGGATATTGTTTTTAACGATATATCGCAATATCATTTTTTAAATATCTCAACATTATTTTTGCGCTAGTCGGCTGTTCCTGCGCCAAAACTCCGGTATTTTGCCGGTATTTTGCTTGTTCTCCATCTTGTTTTTAAATGGTGAGCCAATATGTTTTCAGCACTTTTAATTCCATGACTGATCAAAAATATTTTTCTCATGGCTCTGTCTTGTCCCTCTGCAGCAGACATAGTGAGCAATATGTTTGGAACATTGAATCACAGTATCAAATCGCAATACTTATAGAATCGTGAGAATCGTTAGAATCGCAATACATATCGTATCGGCACCTAAGTATAGTGATAGGCACCTAAGTATAGTGATAGGCACCTAAGTATAGTGATAGGCACCTAAGTATAGTGATAGACACCTAAGTATAGTGATAGACACCTAAGTATAGTGATAGACACCTAAGTATTGTGATAGGCACCAAAGTATAGTGATAGACACCTAAGTATTGTGATAGGCACCAAAGTATAGTGATAGACACCTAAGTATAGTGATAGACACCTAATTATAGTGATAGGCACCTAAGTATAGTGATAGGCACCTAAGTATTGTGATAGGCACCTAAGTATTGTGATAGGCACCAAAGTATAGTGATAGACACCTAAGTATTGTGATAGGCACCTAAGTATAGTGATTGACACCTAAGTATAGTGATAGGCACCTAAGTATAGTGATAGACACCTAAGTATTGTGATAGGCACCTAAGTATAGTGATAGACACCTAAGTATTGTGATAGGCACCTAAGTATATTGTAGTGAAGTGTAGTGTAGTGTAGCACACATAACAGAGGAACATAATGGAACACATGAACACAGTCACACACACCACCACCACCGCTATGTGATGGAGGGAACAGATGGAGAAGCAGATGCATGAAGGAAAGGAAAAACAGAGGGGAATGCAGGAAAGGAAGGGTGAGAGGGAGAGAAGAGAGAGGAGGAGGACAGGAGTGATGTATTTGCTGGTGTTGTTGTGGGTCTGACGTTGTGAGAGCGAGAGAGAGAGTGTAAGACTGGAGGAATGTGTGTGCAGGCTGATGGTGCAGGGATGTGACAGGAGGACATCTGAGGAGAAGCTCTTCAAAGGACCTCTGTCTCTTTGTTCTCAGGCCTCTCCTCTGGACTACTACTGCAGCTCCAGATGTGCCTCTCATTGCCCCACCCTCACCCTGTCCCCCACTACACTGTACTGTACGAACAACTCCGGGTCTGTGCTCTGCAGTTGCTAAACACAGACAGAATGCACACCAACAAAGACACACACACACACTCACTAAAGGTATCACACTCCTCGTCGCCTTTGTCCCCCTTCAAATGCAGGGTAATGTGATGACACTTCAAAAGTGGCCAGCACCACAGGGGTGGAACAATAAACAGGTCCTGGCCCAGGGACCTCTGGGACCACTGGGCTTTGAAACCTGCCCACTGCCCTCCCCCCTGCTCTGCCCCTCCTCTCCTCTGCTCTCCCCATCCCCTCCTCTCCCATCCTCATCCCTGGTCCCTGTGTAACACATTAGGACTTTTCTGGCCTGGTAGAATGTGTCAGTGTGGAGAGGGAAGGTCAGCCTCCTCTCAGCGTGTTTCAGGTGTTGTGAAGTTCGCGGGGACGAGAGGGGGTGAGGGTGAGGAGCATGAGGAGGGTTAGAAGAGGTGTATGGGGACAGAGAGAGGGGCTAGGCTGCTTTAAATCAGGTTGTGAGTGGATTAGTTGTGACTGCTTGGCTGGTCATCCCAGCGTGGTTTACACACAGTGAGATTGGAACCTGCTGACCCACTGGCCTGGCCACGGTACGACTCCTCTACTCCCCTCCTCTCCTCTGTGACACGCTCTGGTGCCCTCTGATTCCCCACCACTCACTAACCAACGTCACTCTACACTGCATCTTACGACTGGACAATTGACTATAGAACGGTTATCCTACTACACCCCACCAAAACTCTCTCTCTCCTCTTTAACCCTACGATTACTATTAAGCATTTCGCTGCACCTGCAACTATGTGGACACAACCAATAACATCTGATTTTATTTGATTTTATTAGCAATCCCTATTTCAATACATTTTAATAGTTGTCAGTTTCATATGCATGATTTGGTTATGTTCTTAGAAACCCTGATTCCACAATTATAAGCACAAAAGTGCTACTTTGAAAATAACATTATTCTCCAACCCAACCATCCAGAGATTTCCCATTACAACGATCCTGTTGCGTGGCACAGTACAGTATCTCTGGGCTGGTGCTGTAGCAGTGGTTATTTTAGGCCTGAGGGGTTGTGGGCTCTCTGCTTCCTCTGTCAGCGGAATAAACTCCCTGCCACGCAGCCAACCAGCCGGGCCAGCTGGGAATGCACACACTCAAAGCTGCTGCTTCTTAAACCTACCAGACAGACCTCTGTCTGGGCTTGACAGGTGGAAAGTCATCGTTTTATCCTCTAGATTGTATGACATGCTCTAGAATTGTGTAAGCCCAAAAATTGTTGCATCAAATAGTCTTTAGGGAATTACAAGCATAACATGCTATATTCAGTTACAAATGACCTTACAACTTCTACTTTTCTTCCCTCCATCTGTCAGATCCGCAGTGGGAAGCTGATGATCACCAACGCCAGGAAAAGTGACGCAGGGAAATATATCTGTGTGGGGACCAACATGGTGGGAGAGAGGGAGAGCGAGATTGCCGAACTGACTGTACTAGGTAAGACCCGAGCTGTCTGTTTATCTGTCCGTATGTCTGTCTGTCTGTCCATCTTTCTGTCTGTTGGTATATCTTTTTGTCTGTTAGTCTGTCTGCCATCTCTTGGTCTGTCCCTCTATCGGAGTCTGTCTCTCTGTTCTGCCTCTAAGTCCCATTCAGTCACCTAGTCAGTCTCAGTTGTGACAGTGAAGGTCAAAATGTCTGAGCCTGCCTGTCCCCCTAGGTAAAGGCTTTTCTCCCTGGCACATCATCCATTAATGAAAGAGGTTACGTAACAATGGCCCCCAGCCCCGCAGCTGTGCAGGCATTTCCCTTGAGCCCCAAACTCAGTATGACCCTGTCGCCCCACCGTGACCCCTGCCACCCCTCAGCTGTCCTGGAGAGGTTGTACCCCCACCACCACCCCTCACTCTCATCCGTTCCTCCTGCTGCCCAGTTAAGATATTGACTCAGAGACAGTCCAAGCACCGCTCAGGTAATACCTCACATCCTTTCTAAGCGTTATCATCGTACTGTTGTCTATACTACCAGGGGTGTTTTCAGTTGTAATCTTGTACCTATTCGTTTGAACTCCGCTCTTAGATCTGCTATTGTCAAAAGAGAAGCCCACTGCGGTCTGCTCACCCAGTGCTATTAGTTTTAAATGTGAAATTGAATACGCCCTCAGTTTTCAAATCACGCAGAGGGCTTGGGCTAATGCATGATAGCTACCAAAGCCCATGTAAGTCTGTTTATAACGTTCCATCATTGGTTACTCTGAGAGTTCCTCATATTGACATTGGCTGCAGCCTTAGGGCCTATTTTGCCAACTTTGGAAAAGTAATTCAAATTTCTACTCTTTCCTCTATTACTAATAGAGATATAGGCCAGTTCTATGCAATCTTATAGCCATACCAACTATATCAATATCAACCATCAGACAAGGCCTGCAACCGCCTATTCAATGTAGCTTGTTTGAGTTGGAGACTCCATGTGACTTTAATCGTATAGGACTTGGGTTGATGCGTCTGAACATTAGGAGCTTACTTCCTAAACTGGGTTACATCAAGATCTGGGCAATGCAGACATTCTGGTATTCACTGAAATTTAGATCTCTGGGGACATTCTGGATTAATTTTGAGGGTTATAAAGTTTTCAGAGCTGATAGACAGGGTAGAGGTGGAGTGGCCATTCTTATAAAAAATAATTGATCTCTCTTTACTGAAATCCATTTCCCTTGCCAAAGCTACTGTGAGCTACTATCTTTAAGCCTTTGTTTGGGGGAAAATGTATTAGGGCTGACCCCATTTAGTCGACTGGTCGATTGTTTGGTCAATAAGCTGTTGGTCGACCGAGATTTTTTTAGTCGAGCAGTGGCAAATATATAAAAGGTAATATATATGGCACACGAGACACCTGTCTGATTCATGCCTTTCTGAGTGGACTAATCCATTGCGGAGGCCGCGGGGGTGCACACCAGGATCACCAGTTGTACATTTAGCCTACCGTTAATTCATCTACAATGTTTGTTTAGTTACGGTAATTTCTGTTAATGCATTCAATATTGTGTTATTACAGCCATACCGTTGTCATTGTAGGAGTGGACACGTTGTTTACAGAGCGCACAACCTAGGCTACACTTGTGAGAAAAAGTTTGGGTTTATTTAATTCCATTTACGAGTTGTCAATTTATTAATTGTCTTTTGTTTGGAGCGCTCCTGTCAATTTTGAGTAAGGACACACACCTGATTACACATAGAAGTAGGTCTAGGCTACCTGGCCTGCGCACAAATGTAGGCCTATAAATGTGCCCATTTGGGGATCTGATACTATTTCTGATTGTCTTACATCCATTGAGAATGACAATCGTTCTTCAACATAGCCTATTTGAAAAATCTTTCCAGCTCTCTCCCTTTCGATAACCACTCAGCATGAAAGGGGGAAAAAATGTCATGCTCTGATCCGGTGGAAACATCATAAAATGTCTACCTGCCTACCTGACACAGCCAACAGCTGTGTCTGTCCGGAGCTCACTGGAGCGGACACTCTGAGGGCCGAGAATATATTATACAATGTTGCAAGTTTGCTAGCAGGAGCTTCTGGCTGGACCAAGTTAATAGTTAATACAATGTGCCCTTGCAGACAGGCCATGCATAGCCAATGTAATTTATTATCACAACATTTTCTGACTGCGGGCTGCAATGTTTTTATTTGTTGGCTTTATGTAGACTACTTTTATATATTGGCAATGGCAATAGAAGTTACTTTTAGATTTGTGTCATTTTCATTTAGATATAATTTACTGGCAACTTCACTCGATACTATACCGGTAATTTCAGGAGCGTAATGGCAGAATCTGTGAAGGCCAGCAGCAACGGGCAGCGGGAGGAGGAGCGTTGTGAACGGATTTTATTTCTTCTGGTTAAGCTATATTGATCTCGGGCTCCCTCTTTAGTCATTTGTGTGTCTTCATTTTTAATCGAGGTGCTTAAAGCATCAGACAAGCTCAGTAGCCTACATATAGTTGATTTTATTCAATCCTTATTCTAAAATGGATTAAAAAATAAAACTCTACACACAATACCCCATAATGCAAAAACAGGTTTTTAGAAATATGTTATTTACATATGTATTCAGACCCTTTGCTATGAGACTCGAAATTGAGCTCAGGTGCATCCTGTTTCCATTGATCATCCTTGAGATGTTTCTACAACTTGATTGGAGTCCACCTGTGGTAAATTCAATTGTTTGGACATGATTTGGAAAGGCACACACCTGTCTATGTAAGGTCCCACAGTTGACAGTGCATGTCAGAGCAAAAACCAAGCCATGAGGTTGAAGGAATTGTCCGTAGAGCTCCGAGACAGGATTGTGTCGAGGCACAGATCTGGGGAAGAGTACCAAAACATTTCTGCAGCATTGAAGGTCCCCAAGAACACAGTGGCCACCATCATTCTTAAATGGAAGCTGTTTGGAACCACTAAGACTCTTCCTAGAGCTGGCCGCCCCCGGCCAAACTGAGCAATGGTCAGGGAGGTGACCAAGAACCTGATGGTCACTCTGACAGAGCTCTAGAGTTCCTTTGTGGAGATTAGAGAAACTTCCAGAAAGACAACCATCTCTGCAGCACTCCACCAATCAGGTCTTTATGGTAGAGTGGCCAGACAGAAGCCACTCCTCAGTAAAAGGCACATGACAGCCCTTTTGGAGTTTGCCAAAAGGCACCTAAAACCTATCAGACCATGAGAAACAAGATTCTCTGGTCTGATGAAACCAAGATTGAACTCTTTGGCCTGAATGCCAAGCGTCACTTCTGGAGGAAACCTGGCACCATCCCTACGGTGAAGCATTGTGGTTGCAGCATCATGCTATGGGGATGTTTTTCAGAGGCAAGGGACTGGGAGACTATTCAGGATCAAGGCAAAGATGAACGGAGCAAAGTACAGAGAGATCCTTGATGAAAACATACTCCAGAGTGCTCAGGACCTCAGACTGGGGCGAAGGTTCACCTTCCAACAGGACAACGACCCTAAGCACACAGCCAAGACAACGCAGGAGTGGCTTCGAAACAAGTCTCTGAATGTCCTTGAGTGGCCCAGCCAGAGCCCGGACTTGAAACTGATCTAACATCTCTGGAGAAACCTGAAAATAGCTGTGCAGCAACGCTCCCCATCCAACCTGACAGAGCTTGAGAGGATCTGCAGAGAAGAATGGGAGAAACTCTCCAAATACAGGTGTGCCAAGCTTGTAGCGTCATACCTAAGAAGACTCGATGCTGTAATCGCTGCCAAAGGTGCTTCAACAAAGTACTGAGTAAAGGGTCTGAATACTTATGTAAATGTGATATTTCTGTTTTTTCTTTTAATAAATTAGCAAAAAATTCTAAAAGAAACTGTTTTTGCTTTGTCATTATGGAGTATTGTGTGTAGATTGATGAGGGAAAAAAACGATTTAAGCAATTTTAGAATAAGGCTGTAATGTAACAAAATGTGGAAAAAGTCAAGGGGTCTGAATACTTTCCGAAGGCACTGTATATATGGAAAAATACACATTTTAACATTTCAACCAATCAATTGGTCGAAAGAACAGACGACTCTCAGTCGACTAAGATTTTTTAAAGTCGGGGACAGCCCTAAAATGTATCCATAACTGTCATAGGGGTCTACCGTCCTCCCTCAGCTAACCTTTGTGCACTCGAGGAGTCTTTTAGTAAATCAGAAGTTATTATCCTGGATGACCTAAATTATGATTGGGAAATGCAGGCTTCAAACAATCTAATAGACATATGTAATGATCTAAACCTAACCCAGCTGGTGACTAAGCCTACATGGCCCAACCCTAAAGATCCTTCAAAGTCAACTCTGATTGATCTTATTTTTACGAATGCACCAGTTTCTACTGGTGTCTTCGCCCAAGATATTAGTGACCATTGCCCAGTTGTTTGTGTTCGAGATGTGAGAATATAACGATCTAAGCCTTGTGTCATCACAAAGAGGAACTTTAGTGAACAGGCTTTTTTACATGATCTTTATTTAGTGACCTTGATTGTATTTCAGCTATCCCTGAACCTGATTTAGCTTTCAGCCTTTTTGCAGATCTCTTCAATATTATTGTGGATAATCATGCTCCCTTAAAAAAATGAAGGGTTAAAGGTAGATTGAATGCCTGGTACACTCCGGAATTATCAGAAGTCATTATCAAAAGAGATGGGTCAAGGCCAGGAACACATGCTTAGGCCTGGACTTGCAAGCTTTTAAGCAACTGAGGAATCATTGTGTAAGACAAATCAGAAAGGCTAAATCTGATTAATATGTAACCACTCTTTCAGATTATAATGGGAGCCTGGCTAAATTCTGGAAAACTGTCAAATCCCTGAAGGGTTCTACTTCCTCCTCTCTGCCACAACAAATGTATTCTGACACGGGCCTCATTACGAAAAATAATGCCATCCTTGATGCATTTAATCACAATTTTATTTCAGTGGGCTCTCTCTTTGAAATAACTTCTAAGCCTATTCACAATTATATTGGGCTGGATGCTGATAGGGGAAACTTGCTGAATGATCAGAGAAATTATAGTCAAAGCTTTCTTTGAGGCTATTTACCGAAAAATAAGTCCTGGATGCTTTGCTAGCAATAGACAACAAGAAATCCACAGGGGCTGACTAATTTGATCCCGGTCTGCTTAATTGTGCAGCGCCCATCATTGTTGGCTCAATAACCTAAATTGTTTATTTAACATTGTTATCAGGACATATTCCAAAAGTATGGAAATCAGCTCTTGTGCTGACACTCCATAAGGGCGTGGATAGTAGTGATCTTTATCGCCCCATTTCAAGTCTTTCTTGACTAGCTAAGCTTCTTGAATCCTTGGTAAATGTACAACTTAATGTACAACTAATTAATTATCAGATAGAACAGAAAACCAGCAGGCTCCGGACCTCGTAGGGTAAGAGTTGAGTAACCCTGCTTTAGACACTAAAATGAAATGTGTTGCTTTGTTTGTGGACCTGTCAAAAACTTCTGATACTGTTGATCATGCTATTTTATTGAATAAATTGCCCTCAATAGGCTTGAGCTCTGACACCTGTTCATGGTTTCATGATTATCTTAGAGACAGATTGGGTTAAGTCCGAATTTCTTGAAGTACATAAAGGTGTTCCTCAGGTGTCGATACTAGGACCGGTTCTTTTCACTATTTATATAGATGCTATTGGTCAATCTGTAAAAAAAAAAAAAAAAAATATGTGGATGATACTATTATGTACGCAATTGCCCCGACTGCTGACCTGGCTGTGACAAGGCTACAGTCCAATTTTGCAGCTGTGCAAGAAGTCCTTACTGATTTAAAACTCATACTTAATATGGGCAAAACTAAATACATGTTGTTTTCAAGTTCTCATAAGATTGTCTCAGATAGATTACATCTTTACTCATCGGATGGTTCTATAATGGAACGAGTCCCTGCGTACACATACCTTGGTATTTGGATTGACAATGATTTATCGTTGTCACGATCGTTGAGAGACGGGTCAGACCAAGGTGCAGCGTGATATGCGTACATATTTATTAAGACGAATAAACACTTGACAAAATAACAAAACAACGAAAACGTGAAGTCCTATGGGCTATACACACAACAAGCCTAACAGGAACACAAACAAGATCCCACAACTAAGGTAGGCAACCAGGCTACCTAAATATGATCCCCAATCAGAGACAACGAGCGACAGCTGCCTCTGATTGGGAATCACACCCGGCCATACATAGAAATACAAAACTAGATTTAAACATAGAAATACAATACATACATTTAAACTGAAACTCACACCCTGACCCAACCAACAAGAGTTCTCTAGCTCAGGGCGTGACAGTACCCCCCCCCCCCCCCCCCCAAAGGTGCGTACTCCGGCCTGTGCCAGCGCCCAGCACGTGTCGTGCGAAAGTGGGCATCCAGCCAGGACGGGTTGTGCCGGCTCAACGCTCCTGGTCTCCAGTGCGCCTCCACAGTCCAGTATATCCTGCGCCAGTCCTACGCGCTGTGTCGCCAGTGCGCGTTCACAGCCCAGTGCGTCCTGTGCCAGCGCCCTGCACGTGTCGTGTGAAAGTGGGCATCCAGCCAGGACGGGTTGTGCCAGCTGTACACTCCAGACCTCCAGTACGCCTCCACGGTCCAGTATATCCTGCTCCGGTTCTACGCACTGTGTCACCAGTGTGCCTCCCCAGCCTGGTACCAAACCAAACCAGTGGTGCGCGTATCCAGTCCAGTACGGGCCGTACCTGCTCCCCGCACCAAACCAGTGGTGCGTGTCGCCAGCCCGGTACGCCCCGTACCTGCTCCCCGCACCAAACCAGTTGTGTGCGTATCCAGTCCGGTACGGCCTGTACCTGCTCCCCACACCAAACCAGTTGTGCGTGTACGCGCGTACCAGGCTGGGGAGGCACACTGGTGACACAGTGCGTAGAACTGGAGCAGGATATACTGGACCGTGGAGGCGTACTGGAGGTCTGGAGTGTACAGCTGGCACAACCCGTCCTGGCTGGATGCCCACTTTCACACGACACGTGCAGGGCGCTGGCACAGGACGCACTGGGCTGTGAACGCGCACTGGCAACACAGTGCGTAGGACTGGCGCAGGATATACTGGACCGTGTAGGCACACTGGAGACCAGGAGCGTTGAGCCGGCACAACCCGTCCTGGCTGGATGCCCACTTTCGCACGACACGTGCGGGGCGCTGGAGTGTACAGCTGGCTTGTAGGGGTTTAATGGCACAGGCAGGGAGCCCAGCCAACAGCGAGTTGCAGTAATCCAGACGGGAGATGACAAGTGCCTGGATTAGGACCTGTGCCGCTTCCTGTGTAAGGCAGGGTCGTAATCTCTGAATGTTGTAGAGCATGAACCTACAGGATCGGGTCACCGCCTTGATGTTAGCGGAGAACGACAGGGTGTTGTCCAGGGTCAGCTTGAGGTTCAGCTTGAGGTGGTGATCCGTCATCCACACTGATACAGTGGGGAAAAAAGTATTTAGTCAGCCACCAATTGTGCAAGTTCTCCCACTTAAAAAGATGAGAGAGGCCTGTAATTTTCATCATAGGTACACGTCAACTATGACAGACAAATTGAGGAAAAAAAATCCAGAAAATCACATTGTAGGATTTTTAATGAATTTATTTGCAAATTATGGTGGAAAATAAGTATTTGGTCACCTACAAACAAGCAAGATTTCTGGCTCTCACAGACCTTTAACTTCTTCTTTAAGAGGCTCCTCTGTCCTCCACTCGTTACCTGTATTAATGGCACCTGTTTGAACTTGTTATCAGTATAAAAGACACCTGTCCACAACCTCAAACAGTCACACTCCAAACTCCACTATGGCCAAGACCAAAGAGCTGTCAAAGGACACCAGAAACAAAATTGTAGACCTGCACCAGGCTGGGAAGACTGAATCTGCAATAGGTAAGCAGCTTGGTTTGAATAAATCAACTGTGGGAGCAATTATTAGGAAATGGAAGACATACAAGACCACTGATAATCTCACTCGATCTGGGGCTCCACGCAAGATCTCACCCCGTGGGGTCAAAATGATCACAAGAACGGTGAGCAAAAATCCCAGAACCACACGGGGGGACCTAGTGAATGACCTGCAGAGAGCTCGGACCAAAGTAACAAAGCCTACCATCAGTAACACACTACACCGCCAAGGACTCAAATCCTACAGTGCCAGACGTGTCCCCCTGCTTAAGCCAGTACATGTCCAGGCACGTCTGAAGTTTGCTAGAGTGCATTTGGATGATCCAGAAGAGGATTGGGAGAATGTCATATGATCAGATGAAACCAAAATAGAACTTTTTGGTAAAATTTCAACTCGTCGTGTTTGGAGGACAAAGAATGCTGAGTTGCATCCAAAGAACACCATACCTACTGTGAAGCATGGGGGTGGAAACATCATGCTTTGGGGCTGTTTTTCTGCAAAGGGACCAGGACGACTGATCCGTGTAAAGGAAAGAATGAATGGGGCCATGTATCGTGAGATTTTGAGTGAAAACCTCCTTCCATCAGCAAGGGCATTGAAGATGAAACGTGGCTGGGTCTTTCAGCATGACAATGATCCCAAACACACCGCCTGGGCAACGAAGGAGTGGCTTCGTAAGAAGCATTTCAAGGTCCTGGAGTGGCCTAGCCAGTCTCCAGATCTCAACCCCATAGAAAATCTTTGGAGCGAGTTGAAAGTCCGTGTTGCCCAGCGACAGCCCCAAAACATCACTGCTCTAGAGGAGATCTGCATGGAGGAATGGGCCAAAATACCAGCAACAGTGTGTGAAAACCTTGTGAAGACTTACAGAAAACGTTTGACCTGTGTCATTGCCAACAAAGGGTATATAACAAAGTATTGAGAAACTTTTGTTATTGACCAAATACTTATTTTCCACCATAATTTGCAAATAAATTCATTAAAAATCCTACAATGTGATTTTCTGGATATTTTTTTCTCATTTTGTCTGCCATAGTTGACGTGTACCTATGATGAAAATTACAGGCCTCTCTCATCTTTTTAAGTGGGAGAACTTGCACAATTGGTGGCTGACTAAATACTTTTTTTCCCCCACTGTATGTCTGCCAGACATGCAGAGATGCGATTCGCCACCTGGTTATCAGAAGGGTACAGGTGTCCTTTTTTACGCTAATAACCATGTGTGAGGTGTACACTTTTGCTTTTGTTTCAAGGTAGATTTGTTTAAGACTACCAAGAAACATGATGTATGATTTAGCCCACTGCAGTAAAAGGTTAAAAAACATACGACTGAGCTTGTTGAGAAACTAAGATTTAAAATGGGATTTTTTTTATAGAAACAGATCTTGTCTCTCTCTAGTCAGCAGGAAGCAGATTGTGCAGTCAACCTTTCTACCTGTTGTTGATTATGGTGATACTATTTATCAAAGTGCAGCTGCCTCTACACTTAAACCCTTGGATGCCGTTTTTCATAGCGCCCTTCGTTTTATCACAGGAGATCGTTTTATTACTCTTCACTATATTCTTTACCAAAAGGTTGGCTGGACTTCTTTGAAGTCACGTAGATCACATCATTATGCTCTTTTTGATTACAAAGCCCTGCTCCACAAACTCCCAACTTACCTAACATCACTGTTAAGATTTAAAATGACAAGTTATCAAACCCGTTCACAGGGTTGGTTAACTCTGGAGACTCCTTTGGTGTCTCGAGAGTTAGGTAAATCAGCCTTTAATTTGCTTGCACCTCACGTGTGGAATGATCTACAATACACTTTAAAATTGGAGGAATTGGTGCCTCTAGGGCATTTCAGATGGTTGCTAGGAGACCTTTTTACTGAAGAATGTGTCTGTTATTTATGATTGTGTTTTCCTTTTCATGTATTGTTGTGTATAATAATGTGTATTTTAATGTCTATATGAATGTGTAGTTTAATGTGTTAATTGTATTTTGATGTGTATTGTGGTGCTATACAGGGCTTATCTGGAAAAGAGACCTTGGTCTCAGCATTGACTCCCTGTCAAAATAAAGGTTAAATAAGTGTCCCAGACCGCTGACCCATAGCCTGTTCCAATCTCCACCCCCACCCCACCCTACCCCGGTCCCCCTCTCCACCCCCACCTCGTTCCTAAGCTGTCACCATATCCACCCCCACCCCACATCCTCGCATTCCCACCCCACTCCCTCTCCAAGCACTTCCCATCAGAGCAGACTGAGACGTCTTATCACAGAATCAGCTGGGCTGGGCGGCTGGCCAGGGCACACACATTTATAACGCCCAGTAAAAACATTTAAGCCTAATAGAATAATACTGCTGATTGAAGAAACAGATTTGTTTCAAATGTGCTCTGGGACCAATGTAAATAAAATGGCCCTGGTTTTAACAAGCCCTACTAGTTTTAAGTGGATTTATTGGTTTTCATCCACATGTCACAAATAAGAAAGAGGCAAATAAAATGTGTTTAAGTGAAATGAAGTTGAGTTGTGGAACTACTTATTCCAGTGAGATATCAAAATAAGAGGGTGAAGGATGGGCCTCATTTTTAGGTGCTTAACTCAAAGCTTTGTATTAAATCAAATCAAATCAAATTTTATTTGTCACATGCTTGGTAAACAACAGGTGTAGACTAACAGTGAAATGCTTACTTACGGGCCCACCTGGTACTGTATTTAGTTTATGTTATTGCGGGTGTAGCGAAATGCTTGTGTTCCTAGGTCCAACAGTGCGGTAGTATCTAACAATTCAAAACAATACACACAAATCTAAAAGTAAAAGAATGGAATTAAGAAATATATAAATATTAGGATGAGCAATGTCGGAGTGGCATTGAGTAGAATAAATTTGAATACAGTATATACATATGAAATTAGTAAAGCAGTATGTAAACATTATTAAAGTGACTAGGGTTTCATAATTAAAGTGACCAGTGATTCCATATCTATGTACATAGGGCTGCAGCCTCTAAGGTGGAGGATTGAGTAACCGGGTGGTAGTCGGCTAGTTGATGGCTATTTAACAGTCTGATGGCCTTGAGATAGAAGCTGTTTTTCAGTATCGAGTCGATGTGCAGGGGTATGATGTAATTGAGGTAGGTATGTACATATAACTAGGAATACAGTGACAGATAATAAACAGTAGCAGCAGTGTATATGATGAGTCAAAACAGTTAGTGCAAAAAGCGTCAATGCAGATAGTCCGGGTAGCTATTTGGTTAACTATTTAACTAACTATTTACCATTCTTATGGCTTGGGGGTAGAAGCTGTTCAGGGTCCTGTTGGTTCCAGACTTGGTGCATCAGTACCGCTTGCTGTGCGGTAGCTGAGAGAACATTTATGACTTGGGTGGCTGTAGTCTTTGACAATTTTTATGGCCTTCCTCTGACACCGCCTGGTATAGACGTTTATTTTCTAAGGGCTAGGGTTGAAGATCCAGGCTAAGATTTCAGTTCAACTTCAAATGTATGTTATACTGTAGAATGCCAATGTTAACATAAACCAGCATGCGACTACATTGAAACTCTAGGGAATGGAGGAAGAAAGTGTGCACTGCGGTGGCTCTCTGTAGACTGCCATGCACATCTTAACATAAAGAATAGTGATTATTTTGACGATTAAGATAGTGATGATGATGATGTCAATAATGATGACAGCAATGATGATGATGATGCTCTCCCCCTCCCCCAGAGCGCCCAGGGTTTGTGAAGAGGCCCAGTAGTATTATGGTGCTGGCAGATGAGAGTGTGGAGTTCCACTGTGAGGCGCGGGGAGATCCGGTCCCCACTGTCCGCTGGAGGAAAGAGGACGCAGACCTGCCTAAGGGGAGGTACGGATGGATGGCCCAGCACTACAATACTGCCTTTATATTACACACTTACAGTGGGGAGAACAAGTATTTGATACACTGCTGATTTTGCAGGTTTTCCTACTTACAAAGCATGTAGGGTTCTGTAATTTGTATCATAGGTACACTTCAACTGTGAGACACGGAATCTAAAACAAAAATCCAGAAAATCACATTGTATGGTTTTTAAGTAATGAATTTGCATTTTATTGCATGACATAAGTATTTGATAAATCAGAAAAGCAGAACTTAATATTTGGTACAGAAACCTTTGTTTGCAATTACAGAGATCATACGTTTCCTGTAGGTCTTGACCAGGTTTGCACACACTGTAGCAGGGATTTTGGCCCACTCCTCCATACAGACCTTCTCCAGATCCTTCAGGTTTCGGGGCTGTCGCTGGGCAATACAGACTTTCAACTCCCTCCAAATATGTTCTATTGGGTTCAGGTCTGGAGACTGGCTAAGCCACTCCAGGACCTTGAGATGCTTCTTACGGAGCCACTCCTAAGTTGCCCTGGCTGTGTGTTTCGGGTCGTTGTCATGCTGGAAGACCCAGCCACGACCCATCTTCAATGCTCTTACTGAGGGAAGGAGGTTGTTGGCCAAGATCTCGCGATACATGGCCCCATCCATCCTCCCCTCAATACGGTGCAGTCGTCCTGTCCCCTTTGCAGAAAAGCATCCCCAAAGAATGATGTTTCCACCTCCATGCTTCACGGTTGGGATGGTGTTCTTGGGGTTGTACTCATCCTTCTTCTTCTTCCAAACACGGCGAGTGGAGTTTAGACCAAAAAGCTCTATTTTTGTCTCATCAGACCACATTACCTTCTCCCATTCCTCCTCTGGATCATCCAGATGGTAATTGGCAAACTTCAGACGGGCCTGGACATGCGCTGGCTTGAGCAGGGGGACCTTGCGTGCGCTGCAGGATTTTAATCCATGACGGCGTAGTGTGTTACTAATGGTTTTCTTTGAGACTGTGGTACCAGCTCTCTTCAGGTCATTGACCAGGTCCTGCCGTGTAGTTCTGGGCTGATCCCTCACCTTCCTCATGATCATTGATGCCCCACCAGGTGAGATCTTGCATGGAGCCCCAGACCGAGGGTGATTGACCGTCATCTTGAACTTCTTCCATTTTCTAATAATTGCGCCAACAGTTGTTGCCTTCTCACCAAGCTGCTTGCCTATTGTCCTGTAGCCCATCCCAGCCTTGTACAGGTCTACAATGTTATCCCTGATGTCCTTACACAGCTGTCTGGTCTTGGCCATTGTGGAGAAGTTGGAGTCTGTTTGATTGAGTGTGTGGACAGGTGTCTTTTATACAGGTAACGAGTTCAAACAGGTGCAGTTAATACAGGTAATGAGTGGAGAACAGGAGGGCTTCTTAAAGAAAAACTAACAGGTCTGTGAGAGCCGGAATTCTTACTGGTTGGTAGGTGATCAAATACTTATGTCATGCAATAAAATGCAAATTAATTACTTAAAAATCATACAATGTGATTTTCTGGATTTTTGTTTTAGATTCCGCCTCTCACAGTTGAAGTGTACCTATGATAAAAATTACAGACCTCTACGTGCTTTGTAAGTAGGAAAACCAGCAAAATCGGCAGTGTATCAAATACTTGTTCTCCCCACTGTACACATCATAGATTCATACTCTGATCTAAACCTTATGCACATGCAGGGTCACATCTGGTCATGGAAATAGATGCATAGGATATTACAGTGTGCATACCATCATGTTTGTCTCACGTCGATCTCTCGCTATCTCTATCTCTCTCTCCCTCTGTGTGTGTCTGTAGGTATGAGATCCTGGAGGACCACACTCTGAGTGTGCGTGGTGTAACACCATCAGACGAGGGCTCCTACACGTGTGTTGTAGAGAACATGGTGGGAAAGGCAGAGGCGTCCGCTACACTGACAGTACACGGTCAGTACAACCTCCCCCGACCGAAACCCTAACCCCAACCCTGGTCATACCTGCTGTTTGACATGAAAGGTGCACAGACTATGAAATGTGCAGACTGGGTTTATGCTGTGCAGCTGTTGCTCTCACGTTCATGTAATGTTAGAGAAAGTGTGAAGAAGAAGACAGCTGTTCTCAGAGCAGTTGGATATCTTACCTAACCCTGTCTAGCCACACCATGGAGTATCACCCCACTGATCTCTGGCCTGCCCTGTCAAGTCAAGCAGTTCCCAGGGTAACAGACTGAGCTAGGTTATCAGTTCAATCTGTGAAGTTATGTCATTTACTGTATCCCCTTGGCTTGGGTTCATATCAGTTCTGAAGCAATCAGCACTCTACTAGCCACAGTCTAACCATGACTGGATCAGTGTAACAGTTCTGAATAGGAGCCCAGATGGGCGTGTTGATGAGGCACCAGGAAGTGGGTTCATTTGTGAGCAGGGATTCCCTGCCACAATGACCCTCCCCCCAGCACAGGGACTGACGGCAGGAAATGAACAGTAACACCTCACTACACACACACACTCGCACACACACGCATGCACAGCACACCACACACAAGCAGTACATACATGGCACAACATACAACCTAACACACAGTTTTCCATGCCCTAACTGGTGGCGCCTGTGACACAGGAGAGAGAAGAGAGAGCGATAGAGTAGAGAGAGAGTATAGTAAGAGAGAGAGAGAGAGTATGAGAGAGAGAGAGAGAGAGAGACGATGCAGAGAGAGAGAGAGAGAGAGAGAGAGAGAGAGAGAGAGTAGCGAGAGAGCTAGAGAGAGCAGAGATGAGAGCGAGTAGAGATAGAGAGTCTAGAGATAGAGAGAGTCGAGCGAGAGAGAGAGAGGTAGAGTAGAGAGAGAGAGAGAGAGAGATAGAGAGAGAGCTGAGAGAGAGCAGGGCTTAATTAAAGACAAGCCTGGGTCCCACGCTGGGAATGACATGGTTCCAATTACACAGTCTACTCTACACCAGACCTGCCTGCCTGGGAAAAGAGGGGGACCAGGGTCTAATTTAGGGTCTGAACAGAGGAGAGGAATAACAGATAGCAGATTCGTACAGATTGTCTTAATTGGAGGGAAGGGTGTAGCTGTCTAAGTACGGTGTACACAGAAAAAGGGGTTCCAAAAGGGTTCTTCGGCTGTCCCTAGGAGAATCCTTTTTGGCTCCAGGTATAACCCTTTTCGGTTCAAGGTAAAATCCTTTTGGGTTCCATGTAAAATCCTCTGTGGAAAGGGTTCTACATGGAACCCAAAAGGGTTCTACTTAACGGGTCTGGCTCCACGAGGGAGCTAAAGGGGGCTTAGCCCCCTCACCTTTAGTTTTATGTCCCTATATAAAAAGAGCAAAAATTGATTGACTGACAAGTTGGCGCAAAATAATCTGTATCTCTGCTGTGCTGTGTAGGGGGGCTATGGAAAGCCACTTGGCAGTTAGGTATGACTCCTTTGGGTTTCCATAAAAAGCAAGAAAAAACACTTCTCATCTCTGTGATAGGCTAAGTGAATAATGTGATACACCTCCGCCTGTAATATTTGATTTTGATTTATAAGGGTGGGGTCAAGTTTACCATTGAAGCTGCTTCACTCTTAGATAGCTAGCTGTAAAAAGTGTTACTGTTATTAGCCTTAGCCTATTTAGCTAGCTCGAACAGCTAATCTTTGCCAAAGTACCCAAACAAAGGAGAAGGAGAGCAGTGAGCATCAGCCTCAAACCACAGATGCCGCCGCCAAGCCCAGCAGTGATGATGCTGCCGAGCTCCAGCTAGCTCCGTGTGAGCCTACCCACCCTTCCACTAGCGCCGCCAGGATAATGGCTCCACAGCCACCTCCACATCTGACTGTTCCTGATGATCTTTGAACAGAGCAGCCAGCCCAGGTTAGCCTAGATTCCTACCCTAGCCGCAGGTTTTCTGTCCTAAAACGTTCATTTAATAGCAACTGGTTCATAGGAAGAGAGTGGCTGGAATACTCTTACTGCAGATGCTATTATGGTTTTCTTGGTAGCCTATTGGTTTTCGTTGCTTTAAATGGAACTGTGCGTATTGGAAATGTGTTTATGGTAGGCTGGCATTGCTTAATTGATTATGTGGGTGCAATTTGATTCATAGAAGTGTATTGTGCCATATCACAAAGTGTTGCTGAACTCATGAGCAAGCGGCATTAATTTCTATGTTTGAAGCGGGCCTGTAAAGGCCTATTTATTTGGCAAGACAGTTGTGCATGTCTGCATCTCACTGTAGTAGGCTGTAGGCTATGTTTTTGTTATTTGGATTTCCATTTGCCTTTTGTTTACTGTGTTTGTTTACTATTAATGTTACTAGCCTAAATTTAGATTGATTTTGTTCTGTTGGCATTCATTCGCATTTGCAGTTGTGCGGGTATTCTAAGTCAAACTGCTATTCAGTATTTTGATTTGCATGCATGACTAACTAGGCTACTACTTTCAGCATTTAGTTTGCATTATTTTGGTAAGACGTGTGTACAGCTGCATTCACGTAGGCTGTCAATAGGTGAATTGTCTTATCTATCTTGTAGCATATATTCATTACCAAAATGGCCTAGCTGGAGGGTGCTGTCCATTGTGCTGAAACAGTGCAGCAGAGATAGGCTACAGATTTCAAAAGCACTCAATTATTGCTGAGTCTCTGCATTTTAACTTTATGTTTATTGTGGTATAGCGTGATTATATAAACAGAATTCAATATAATTCCAATGCAAGAACCCCAAAATCTTTTGCCCCTTCGCCCATTTCAACTGCCCCCTTAGTCACTTTATCCTGGTGCCGTGTCTGACCTGGAACCAAAAAGGGTTCTCCTATGGGGACAGCCAAACAACCCTTTTAGGTTCTACATAGCAGGTTTTTTTCTAAGAGTGTAGTAGGTGGTTTTCTTTTTTTCTGTCTCACACTTTTAATTTTCCTTCCTGTTCTCTCTTATACCTGATTTCACCAACCAGCAGTGGACAGAGAGGAAAGGGGGAGGAGGAGAGGGAGGAAGGGGGAGGGGGAGGGAAGAGGAGGGGGAGAGCAGATCTCCCCTGAAGGAAATGAGACATAACAACAGCACTGTCTGACAAACACTATCTCATCTGGAGATACTTGAGGGTTCAGGTCAACGAGATAATAAGGAGAGAGAGAGAGCGAGAGAGAGAGAGAGAGAGAGAGAGCGAGAGAGAGAGAGAGAGAGAGAGAGAGAGAGAGAGAGAGAGAGAGAGAGAGAGAGAAGCAGCTTTGAAGGTAACATTAGGAGCAGCACATTTTTACTTTTTATAACCCCTCCTTTCAATCAATGTATTTTCAGTGTATCTCAAGTCATAGTTTCTGACTAGAGAGATGCGCTAGTATTCATTGTTACACAAGTACCAGAATAAGCTGTTTTCTGCCTCAAACACAAACATTCTAATGTCCTTGCTGTGTTTGAACATATTCAACAGGGCAGGCAGGAGACTAAGGGCTTGTTTCCTCTAGACTCAGTCTGGCCGTGTGATTGGTGCAGCCAGGCCACATTATCAGTAGTGGAAATCAAAACACATTGGAGGCCTCCTCACTCCAGTCAAACTGCTTTCATTCCAAACACAAGGCTTGCACACAGGGTTTTCTCCAAATATGTTTTCAGGCATATTTTCCATCACCTAACACTTTTACTGAGGTCGTTTATCACACTTTAACTAGTGCCAACACTCCAGATCACCTTGTAACATTTTTAAGTAATTGGCACAGTATTATCTGGATTCCTGTATTTTCTCCTCAAAGTAAAGTCTTAAGCTTCACCCTTTTCTGTTCTTTCTACAGCTATACCTCTCTTATTCAGAGCGACTTACAGTAGTGAGTGCGTACATTTTCGTACTGGTCCCCCGTGGGAATCAAACCCACAACCCCCATGCTCTACCAACTGAGCCACACGGGTCTCTCTCTCTCTCTCTCTCTCTCTCTGTCTGTCTCACCACAATGGCCCTTGGTCACTTGCCTATCCATGCATATCACTGTTCAGCTCCTTTATAGGCTCTAAGACTCACAGTGTGCCACAGCCTTTACAGACATATGAAGCCCTCAGTCTATAAGTCTCTCTATAGGCCTAGCTCTACACCCAGAGGGAGAGAGAGGAAGTTCCGGTCTCCGAGTGTCTGAACTGTAGTAGAGTTCATCCCCTTCTCTCTCCCCTCCAGGTTTATGTGTTCATTGGGGGGTTGTAACTCTGTCCAAACAGGCCGCAGGGCTGGCTAGCCTCGTAACTCAACCCAACACTCCCATGTAAGGCTTTTCACACCTTTGAGTCAACAGGTCCAATGGGTCTCATAGGGATGGGAACAGGCCACGCCTTGTCCCAGCGACCCTACTGAGCACACACAGTAATACACACACACGTGCGCGACACATACAAAGAGACACACACACATACACATACACATCGGCACAAATACAGTACACACATTCACACACACGCTCCAAGATACCTACTCTCACACTCCATCCCACCTCTCCACCCTCACTTTACTGTCCCATTCAACTGACCAAACACAAGAGCTCGTGTGTCCCCTCAACACCGCCTCCAATCACCCTATAAACCTGCCAGGGTAATTCATGCATCTGGCCCCAGCTAACCCCATAAAACACATGCTGCAAGTCAGGGGTCAGCACTAGGCTTTCAGTGTGGATCTATCAGCACGACAACAAACCTTTCAAACACTCCCACCACTGTTGTCTGTGTGTATGCGCGCGTGCGTGCGCACATTTGCCAAGGAAATTATCTTTGTTCCCTGTGATTTATTAAGTTCCCATATTACTCCACATAAATGAAAATCCTAAATATTACACAGAAATACATAGTGATGGAAACATAGTCTTATCCATGTGCATAGTATTCAGTAAATGGAAATGATTACATTTTTTCTTAGTATATGAAATATAGTAAATTAAATATGGTGGGAGCCTGTAGCTGGGTGGGCATGTGGCCCGTAAAGGGGGTCTGGTCTGAGCTCAACACACTTAGGCATGGGGGCAGGAAGAGATGCTCCGCTTCCTCTACTACATCCAGCACGGCATGCTGGGAGCTGGACCCCGGCTCTTTTTATGTCCATGGTCACATATTCATCAAGTCCCGCTCAGGAAACATGGCTGTCAGGGTTGGTGGTTAGGGGGTTTAAAGGTCACAGCCAAATCCAACAACAACAACATTGCTTTTTCTCTGTCTTCCCCCCCATCTGTGTCCTTCCTTCCTCTCCTCCCTTTGTCTGGACCTTTCTTTAAGGTCTCACATGTCTCTCTGTGTTCTGGATTTTTTTCTTTGTGTCATTAAGAAAGGAGATTTCCATTCTACTATAGTGTAATAGTGATACAATACTGCATATGAAGTTATTTGAGGCAGCATGCATGTGTGTGTGAGAGTGTGGATGTCCACAGTAACTACATACATGTGTGTTTTTGCTAGTGTTGAGGAATGTAGTTGGAGGGAGGGAGATGTATTTACAGTCAAACACACACTGAAGCAGTCTTCCAGTGGGGTCCCATTCATTAAACACACATGAAGCCCACTCCTCCTGAGACCAACCATAGTTAACACACGGTGACTGGACAGTGACTGGACTGTTACTCTACCACACAAACAGAGCTTCTGTGCAGCATATGCCCCTCACGGTGTATCAGATTGTTGTTTATTCCATTCATTTACTCATTCATGTATTCATTCATCAACGTGTTTGTTGAAAATGTTTAATGATTGACTGGTAAGCATTTGCCATCGCATGTGTCTGTCATCATTATTCATCTCCTGCTCTTGTGTTTGCTTCTCTTCTCTTCTCTTGTAGTCTTCACTGGTAAGTTGTCATCCGTCAGTCATCCTCCTCCGCACTGACAGCAACACGACATCATTAGTCATTACAGTCCTCCTCTCCTCCCTCCAATCCTCCAATAGGAGTTCACATTTCAGTTGTCATGAGCAACTGGGAGTAAGTGGGTAATAAAATAAAATACATCTATTTAAGTGAAAAAAAGGTAAACATAGTCATTATTTCATCCTATTTTATGTGATTTTTAGGATTTATGCTTGCAAAATTTTTCTATGTTTGTCCTGTTAAACCAAGATCCATCTCTCCACCCCTGCAGTGCCCCCAGCGTTCGCCATGCGCCCCAGAAACCAGGTGGTAGCAGTTGGGAGAATGGTCACCTTCCAGTGTGAAGCCACTGGCAACCCTCAGCCTGCTATCTTCTGGCAGAGGGAGGGCAGCAATGTGAGATACTATACAGTTTATCTAAGTTATATATATTGATACATAGGCCTATATGTTGAAGAACGGGTATTGAATGCACCGTATCCTTAGAGTGTAGGTTATTGATAACTCCATGTCCAGTGGATGTCTCAAGCGTAGACATGTAATTCCAGTCTCAAGACCACTCTGTCTCTTTCTCTCCGTCCTCCAGAGCCTGCTTTTCTCCTACCAGCCCCCTCAGCCCTTCAGCCGACTTTCCGTGTCTCAGACAGGCAGTCTGACCATCGCAGACGCCCAGCGCTCTGACGCTGGCTACTACAGCTGTCAGGCCCTCAACATCGCTGGCTCCGTCATCACCAAGGCCCTGCTGGAGGTCACTGACAGTGAGTGAGGGAGGGGAGGAGGGAGGGATGGTTTCCTCTAATCAACTGACCAAAGCTCCTCCATTGGCCTGGTTGACTGAGTTGTGTCTCCATGATTGGAAAATGCTGAATTACTGAATAACTACTAGCTGCTTTGCTGACTGGATGTATGGCAGATCAGCCTCTCCTGTAGACTGGTGAGATGATGTGGCCTTTATGGTTCAGTGTTTTGTACTGGTTACTGTTGGCCTTGGTGACTAATTGTTGTTGGAGTGATTTCAGGAACCCTCAGCTGCAGGCGTTTGGGCTCCAAATCACCTGTTCCCATGGTGACAGTGCATGCAGACCGCCCATACCCTCCTTCCCAATTGAACCCTCCCCCAAAACACACACACACATAATCACATTTTCATACACACACATTTTTACACACACAGACAAACACGCACACACACATATTTAAACACAGACACCTTTCATTCTCCTCCCTAATGCCATGCTGGTGAACCGAATTATGATCATCCTGATAATTGCATCAGTTATTAAAAACAGAATTAAAATGTTGAGTCTGGCTCCAAGACCTACAACAGTAATTACAGCAGCCAGCACCAGCAGCAAAGTCTACTTGGTTATAATAAACTGACCTGAGAGAGTATGAGCGTGTGTGTGTGTGCGTGTGTGGATGCATGTGTGTCTTCACTATGTACATATATTACGTTAATTAACATAATTGCCTGAGGCTGGTACAGGCGGCAGGCGTTGTCTGTGCATGGCGGTGACTTCAGCAGTGGCAGCTATTGGTTCTGGGTAATCATATGGTAATGCTTTCTGCAGCCGCGCCAGGGAAATGAGAGTCACCCACTTAATGTACACTCAATTACACTTAATGGAAATGAAACAAGGATGTAGCATGTTTGATTTAATCTACGTAGCACTCCTCACTCTGCCATCCCTTATTTCTCCTTCTAGTGAATAGGCCTACCCGTCTCTCCCCTCTCCCTTCCCCCTCCACCTCTCTCCCCCTTTCCCCTCCTCCCCCGCAGTTTGAATGGTGTATTTGTATGGAAATAACTTGCTGCCATTACCTCTGGTGGTTTTCAAGGTATTTCCATTCTTTTCCCCTGTGCCTCTGATTTTGGAGAGCGTTTTCCCCTCTATTTCCACTGGGTTGTGAAGTGGGAGAGTGATGGCTGGCTGCTATCTAAATGGGATTTGTTATTTGTTGGTCCGTGGTGCTCCTACTACTGCCCAATGATTAGCCAGTTGCTCTGGGCATTGGGATAATCTGATTTCTATTCCCCTACACTGCCCAACCTGTCACTCCTATTGTGTTCTTCTCATGCCAATTTTCCTCAATATCTCTCACATCTCATCTGTCCTTGATTTTCTGTCTGTCTCTTTTCTCTCCATTCTATTTTCTCCATTCTATTCTCTCCATTCCTTATTTCTCTCTAAATCTGAAGGGATGATAGAGATAACTATTTATTCTGACCAGACCTGGGTCAGACCTGGGTTAGACCATGTGTATTTGAGTCTTTGTTATTTAAATACATATTTTCTGTGTATTTGAGTCTTTTCAAATAATGTGGCCCGAATCAACTACTTACATTGGATGTTTTTTAAAATAGTATTTTCAAATAATTTCCTATAAATAGCCTGCTATTTGAAATATTTTTTGTTGTTGAGTATAACAAACATTAGGAACACCTTCCTAGTATTGAGTTGCACACACCTTTTTGCCCTCAGAACAGCCTCAATTATTCGGGGAATGGAGTCTACAATGTGTCGAAAGCGTTCCACAGGGATGCTGGCCCATGTTGACTCCAATGCTTCCCACAGTTGTGTCAAGTATTAAAACCTTCCCAAATCAAAACTATGGATAGATGGCAGCATTCGCGCAAAACTGAAAGCGCGAACCACCGCATTTAACCACGGCAAGGTGACTGGGAATAAGGTTGAATAAAAACAGAGCAGTTATGCCCTCCGTAAGGCAATCAAGCAGGCAAAAGTGGAGTCGCAATTCAACGGCTCAGACACGAGACGTATGTGGCGTATGTGACTCCAGACAATCAAGGATTACAAAGGGAAAACCAGCCACGTCGCGGACACCGACGTCTTGCTCCCGACACCTTCTTGCCCACTTTGATGATAACACAGTGCCACTGACGCGGCCCGCTCCCGAGGACTGTGGGCTCTCGTTCTCCGTGGCCGACGTGAGTAAGACATTTAAGCATGTTAACCCTCGCAATGCTGCCGGCTCAGACGGCATCCCTAGCCGCATCCTCAGAGCATGCGCAGACCAGCTGGCTGGAGTGTTTACAGACATTTTCAATCTCTCCCTATCCCAGTCTGCTGCCCCCACTTGCTTCAAGATGTCCACCATTGTTCCTGTACCCAAGAAAGAAAAGGTAACTGAACTAAATGAAGTGCTTTGAGAGGCTAGTTAAGGATCATATCACCTCCACCTTATCTGACACCCTAGACCCACTTCAATTTGCATACCGCCCCAATAGATCCACAGACGATGCAATCGCCATCGCAGTGCATACTCCCCTACCCATCTAGACAAGATGAATACCTATGTAAGAATGCTGCTAATTGACTACAGCTCAGCCTTCAACACCATAGTACCCTCCAAGCTCCTCATTAAGCTCGGGGACCTGGGTCTGAACCCCGCCCTGTGCAACTGGGTCCTGGACTTCCTGACGGGCCGTCCCCAGGTGGTGAAGGTAAGAAATAACACCTCCACTACACTGATCTTCAATACAGGGGCCCCACAAGGGTGCGTGCTCAGCCCCCTCCTGTACTCCCTGTTCACCCATGACTGCGTGGCCACGCACACCTCCAGCTCAATCATCAGGTTTGCAGACGACACAACAGTAGTAGGCCTGATTACCAACAATGATGAGACAGCCTACAGGGAGGAGGTGAGGGCCCTGGCGGAGTGGTGCCAGGAAAATAACCTCTCCCTCAACGTCAACAAAACGGGCTTGGCCTCAAAGAACCTCACCAACTTCTACAGATGCACCATTCAGAGCATCCTGTCAGGCTGCATCACCGCCTGGTATGGCAATGGCACCGCCTACAATCGCAGGGCTCTCCAGAAGGTGGTGTGGTCTTCCCAACACATCACTGGGGGCACACTGCCTGCCCTCCAGGACACTTACAGCAACCGAGGAAGGCTAAAAAGATCATCAAGGACATCAACCACCCGAGCCACAGCCTGTCCACCCCGCTATCATCCAGAAGGCGAGGTCAGTACAGGTGCATCAAAGCTGGGACCGAGAGACTGAAAAATAGCTTCTATCTCAAGGCCATCAGACTGTTAAATAGCCATCACTAGCCTGCCTCCACCCAGTACCCTGCCCTGAACTTAGTCACTGTCACTAGCCGGCTATCACCCGGCGACTCAACCCTCCACCTTAGAGGCTGTTGTCCTATGTACATAGATAGACATGGATCACTGGTCACTTTAGTAATGGAACACTGGTCACTTTAATAATGTTTACATACTGCTTTACTCATTTTACAGTGGGGAAAAAAAGTATTTAGTCAGTCACCAATTGTGCAAGTTCTCCCACTTAAAAAGATGAGAGAGGCCTGTAATTTTCATCATAGGTACACGTCAACTATGACAGACAAAATGAGAAAAAAAAATCCAGAAAATCACATTGTAGGATTTTTTTATGAATTTATTTGCAAAATATGGTGGAAAATAAGTATTTGGTCAATAACAAAAGTTTCTCAATACTTTGTTATACACCCTTTGTTGGCAATGACACAGGTCAAACGTTTTCTGTAAGTCTTCACAAGGTTTTCACACACTGTTGCTGGTATTTTGGCCCATTCCTCCATGCAGATCTCCTCTAGAGCAGTGATGTTTTGGGGCTGTCGCTGGGCAACATGGACTTTCAACTCCCTCCAAAGATTTTCTATGGGGTTGAGATCTGGAGACTGGCTAGGCCACTCCAGGACCTTGAAATGCTTCTTAGGAAGCCACTCCTTCGTTGCCCGGGCGGTGTGTTTGGGATCATTGTCATGCTGAAAGACCCAGCCACGTTTCATCTTCAATGCCCTTGCTGATGGAAGGAGGTTTTCACTCAAAATCTCACGATACATGGCCCCATTAATTCTTTCCTTAACATGGATCAGTCGTCCTGGTCCCTTTGCAGAAAAACAGCCCCAAAGCATGATGTTTCCACCCCCATGCTTCACAGTAGGTATGGTGTTCTTTGGATGCAACTCAGCATTCTTTGTCCTCCAAACACAACGAGTTGAGTTTTTACCAAAAAGTTCTATTTTGGTTTCATCTGACCATATGACATTCTCCCAATCCTCTTCTGGATCATCCAAATGCACTCTAGCAAACTTCAGACGGGCCTGGACATGTACTGGCTTAAGCAGGGGGACATGTCTCGCACTGCAGGATTTGAGTCCCTGGCGGCGTAGTGTGTTACTGATGGTAGGCTTTGTTACTTTGGTCCCAGCTCTCTGCAGGTCATTCACTAGGTCCCCCCGTGTGGTTCTGGGATTTTTGCTCACCGTTCTTGTGATCATTTTGACCCCACGGGGTGAGATCTTGCGTGGAGCCCCAGATCGAGGGAGATTATCAGTGGTCTTGTATGTCTTCCATTTCCTAATAATTGCTCCCACAGTTGATTTCTTCAAACCAAGCTGCTTACCTATTGCAGATTCAGTCTTCCCAGCCTGGTGCAGGTCTACAATTTTGTTTCTGGTGTCCTTTGACAGCTCTTTGGTCTTGGCCATAGTGGAGTTTGGAGTGTGACTGTTTGAGGTTGTGGACAGGTGTCTTTTATACTGATAACAAGTTCAAACAGGTGCCATTAATACAGGTAACGAGTGGAGGACAGAGGAGCCTCTTAAAGAAGAAGTTACAGGTCTGTGAGAGCCAGAAATCTTGCTTGTTTGTAGGTGACCAAATACGTATTTTCCACCATAATTTGCAAATAAATTCATAAAAAATCCTACAATGTGATTTTCTGGATTTTTTTCTTCTCAATTTGTCTGTCATAGTTGACGTGTACCTATGATGAAAATTACAGGCCTCTCTCATCTTTTTAAGTGGGAGAACATGCACAATTGGTGGCTGACTAAATACTTTTTTTCCCCACTGTATATTTATATACTGTATTTTACTGTATTATAGTCAATGCTCGTCCTAATATTTACACTACCAGTCAAAAGTTTGGACACACCTACTCATTTAAGGGTTTTTCATTCTTTTTACAATTTTTTACATTGTAGAATAATAGTGAAGACATCAAAACTATGAAATAACACATATGGAATCATGTATTAACCAAGAAAGTGTTAAACAAATCAAAATATATTTTATATTTGAGATTCTTCAAATAGCCACCCTTTGCCTTGATGACAGCTTTGCACACTCTTGGCATTCTCTCAACCAGTTTCATGAGGTAGTCACCTGGAATGCATTTCAATAAACAGGTGTGCCTTCTTAAAACTTAATTTGTGGAATTTATTTCCTTCTTAATGCATTTGAGCCAATCAGTTGTGTTGTGACAAGGTAGGGGGGTATACAGAAGATAGCCCTATTTTGTAAAAGACCAAGTCCATATTATGGCAAGAACAGCTCAAATAAGCTAAGATAAATGACAGTCCATCATTACTTTAAGACATGGTCATATATATGGAATATGGAAAATGTCAAGAACTTTTAAAGTTTCTTCAATTGAAGTCGTAAAAACCATCAAGCGCTATGATGAAACTGGCTCTCATGAGGAACGCCACAGGAATGGAAGACCCAGAGTTAACTCTGCTGCAGAGGATAAGTTCATTAGAGTTACCAGCCTCAGAAATTGCAGCCCAAATAAATGCTTCAAGTCACAGACACTTCTCAATATCAACTGTTCAGAGGGGACTGTGTGAATCAGACCTTCATGGTCGATTTTCTGCAAAGAAACCACTACTAAAGGACACCAATAAGAAGAAGAGACCTACTTGGGCCAAGAAAATTGAGTGATGGACATTAGACCGGTGGAAATGTGTCCTTTGGTCTGGAGTCCAAATTGGAAATTTTTGTTTCAAACTGCTGTGTCTTTGTGAGATGCGGTGTGGGTGAATGGATGATCTCCGAATGTGTAGTTCCCATCGTGGTAGCCATGCTGGTGACACTGTCTGTGATTTATTTAGAATTCAAGGCACACTTAACCAGCATGGCTACCACAGCATTCTGCAGCTATACGCCATCCCATCTGGTTTGGGCTTAGTGGGACTATAATTTGTTTTTCAACAGGACACCTCCAGGCTGTGTAAGGGCTATTTTACCAAGAAGGAGAGTGATGGAGTGCTGTATCAGATGACCTGGCATCCACAATCCCCCGTCCTCAACCCAATTGAGATGGTTTGGGATGAGTCGGACGGCAGAGTGAAGGAAAAGCAGCCAACAAGTGCTGAGCATGTGTGGGAACTCCTTCATGACTGTTGGAAAAGCATTCCAGGTGAAGCTGGTTGAGAGAATGCCAAGCGTGTACAAAGCTGTCATCAAGGCAAAGGGTGGCTATTTGAAGAATCTCAAATATAAAATATATTTTGATTTGTTTATCACTTTTTTGGTTACAACATGATTCCATATGTGTTATTTCATAGTTTTGATGTCTTCACTATTATTCTACAATGTAAAAAATAGTAAAAATAAAGATAAACCCTTGAATGCAAAAAAAAAAAAAAAAAAAAAAAAAAATGTATTCACTAACTGTAAGTCGCTCTGGATAAGAGCGTCTGCTAAATGACTAAAATGTAAATGTAATGAGTAGTTGTGTCCAAACTTTTGACTGGTACTGTATTTATTTCTTAATTCCATTATTTTACTTTGAGATTTGTGTGTATTGTTGTTAATTGTTAGATACTACTGCACTTTTGGAGCTAGGAACACAAGCATTTCGCTACACCCGCAATAACATCTGTTAAATATGTAAATGTCACCAATAAAATTTGATTTGATTTGAAGTTGGCTGGATGTCCTTTGGGTGGTGGACCATTCACACAGGAAACTGTTAAGCGTGAAAAACCCAGCAGTGTTGCAGTTCTTGACAAACCGGTGCGCCTGGCACCTACTATCATACCCCGTTCAAAAGGCACTTAAATCTTTTGTCTTGCCCATTCATCCAGTGAATGGCACACATACACAATCCATGTCTCAATTGTCTCAAGGCTTTAAAATCCTTCCTCCTCCCGTTAATCTATACTGATTGGAGTGGACATCAATAAGGGATCATAAGGGATCATAAGACATCAATAAGCGATCAAAGCTTTCACCTGGATTCACCTGGTCATTCTATGTCATGGAAAGAGCAGGTGTTCTTGATGTTTTGTATACTCAGTGTATATTTAATACTATTTTCAAAAACTTGGGTTAAATGCATGGGAGTTTATTTGAGTCAGTTTATTTGAGATTTTAATAAAATACTTTCAAATGTATTTCCAAATGCATTCCAATATTCAACTACTTGTCTTGAAAAGAAAGTGAAATATTTACTTCCCAAGTCATTGAAATACCCTAAATAGTATTTGAACCCAGGTCTGATTGCGACAGTATAACTGGTATTAAACAGTACATTCTCCCTCTCCCTTTTGAATAGTGGTGTCAGAACGCCCCCCTCCCGTGATCCGACAGGGCCCAGCCAATCAGACGGTACCTGTGGACAGCACAGTGGTCCTGGGTTGCATAGCAACAGGAACCCCCACTCCAACAGTCCACTGGAAGAAAGACGGGGTGGTGGTGTCCCCCGAGGACTCCCGCATCACCCAGATAGACACAGGAGCCCTGCAGATCCGCTACACTAAGGTAGGGGGCAGCATAACACCCCTCTCACACATAGAGACCACCACTCAGACACTACTGAATGAAACCACTCTCACACTGTGTTTCCTCAGCTTGGAGATACAGGTGTATACACCTGTTTGGCGTCCAGCCCCAGTGGAGAGGCATCCTGGAGGGCCTACGTGGAGGTGGAAGAGTTTGGAATGGTGGTCCAGCCGGGTCGACCCACAGACCCTAACCTGATCCCCAGTGCCCCGTCCAAGCCTGACGTGACTGACGTCAGCCGCACCTCTGTCACACTGTCCTGGAAACCCAACCCTAACGCTGGGGCCACGCCCACTTCCTATGTTATCGAGGCATTCAGGTACAGTGCCTTGCAAAAGTATTCATCCCCATGGCGTTTTTCCTATTTTGTTGCATTACAACCTGTAATATACATAGATTTTTTATTTGGATTTCATGTAATGGACATACATAAAATAGTCCAAATTGGTGAAGTGAAATGAAAAAAATAACTTGTTTCAAAACATTCTAAAAAATAATAACGGAAAAGTGATGCGTGCATATGTATTCACCCCCTTTGCTATGAAGACCCTACATAAGATCTGGTGCAACCAATTACCTTCAGAAGTCACATAATTAGTTAAATAAAATCCACCTGTGTGCAATCTAATTGTCACATGATCTCAGTATATATACACCTGTTCTGAAAGGCACCAGAGTCTGCAACAACACTAAGCAAGGGGCACCACCAAGCAAGCGGCACCATGAAGACCAAGGAGCTCTCCAAACAGGTCAGGGACAAAGTTGTGGAGAAGTGCATATCAGGGTTGGGTTATAAAAAATATCCAACACTTTGAACATCCCACAGAGCACCATTAAATCCATTGTTAAAAATTGGAAAGAATATGGCACCACAACAAACCTGCCAAGAGAGGGCCGCCCACCAAAGCAAACATGTTTGGTGTTTGCCAAAAGGCATGTGAGAGACTCCCCAAACATATGGAAGAAGGTACGCTGGTCAGATAAGACTACAATTGAGCTTTTTGGCCATCAAGGAAAACGCTATGTCTGGTGCAAACCCAACACCTCTCATCACCCCGAGAACAACATCCCCACAGTGAAGTATGGTGGTGGCAGAATCATGCTGTGGGAATGTTTTTCATCAGCAGGGACTGGGAAACTGGTCAGAATTGAAGGAAAGATGGATGGCGCTAAATACAGGGAAATTCTTGAGGGAAACCTGTTTCAGTCTTCCAGAGATTTGAGACTGGGACGGAGGTTCACCTTCCAGCAGGACAATGACCCTAAGCATACTGCTAAAGCAACACTCGGGTGGTTTAAGGGGAAACATTTAAATGTCTTGAAATGGCCTAGTCAAAGCCCAGACCTCAATCCAATTGAGAATCTGTGGTATGACTTAAAGATTGCTGTACACCAGCGGAACCCATCCAACTTGAAAGAGCTGGAGCAGTTTTGCCTTGAAGAATGGGCAAAAATCCCAGTGGCTAGATGTGCCAAGCTTATAAAGACATACCCCAAGAGACTTGCAGCTGTAACTGCTGCAAAAGGTGGCTCTACAAATTATTGAATAGTTATGCACGCTCAAGTTTTCTGTTTTTTTGTCTTATTTCTTGTTTGTTTCACAATAAAACATATTTTGCATCTTCAAAGTGGTAGGCATGTTGTATAAATCAAATGATGCAACACCCCCAAAAAATCTATTTTAATTACAGGTTGTAAGGCAACAAAATAGGAAAAATGCCAAGGGGGGTGAATACTTTCGCAAGCCAATGTAAGTTTAGGAGGGCCGAGATGTGTGTCTATTTTGTGTGTTCATGGCTGTATCTACAGTGCCTTCAGAAAGTATTCATACCCCTTCACTTATTCAACATTTTGTTGTGTTACAGCCTGAATTCAAAATGGGTTAAATATATTTTCTGGGTCAACCATCTACACACAATACCCCAAAATGAAAAAGTGAAAACATGTTTTTTATTGAAAATGAAATACAGAAATATCTAATTTACATAAATATTCACACCCATGAGTCAATACTTTGTAGAAGCACCTTTGGTGGCGATTACAGCTTTGAGTCATCTTGGGTATGTCTATCAGCTTTGCACGTCTGGATTTGGGGATTTTCTCCCATTCTTCCTTTTTTCTCAAACTCTGTTAAGTTAGATGGTGAGTGGCAGTGAACAGCAATCTTCAAGTCTTTCCACAGATTTTCAATGGGATTCAAGTCTGGGCTTTGGCTGGGCCACTCAAGGACTTTCACATTCTTGTTCTGAAACCATTCAAGCATTGCTTTGGCTGTATGCTTGGGGTCATTGTCCTGTTGGAACATACATCTTCTCCCTACTCAAAGGTTGTTTGCACTCTGAAGCAGGTTCTCATCAAGGATTTGCCTGTATTTGACTCTATTCATTGTTCCCCTATCCTTACCAGTCTCCCAGTTCCTGCCGCTGAAAAGCATTCCCATAGCATGATGTTGCCCCCATCATGCTTCACGGTAGGGATGGTGTTAAACGGGTGATGAGCTGTGCCTGGTTTTCTCCAGACATAGTGCTTTGCATTCAGGCCAAAGTGTTAATTTCTTTCTCCTCAGACCACAGAATATTTTGCCTTATGCTCTCAGAGTATTTCTCGTGCCTTTTTGAAAACTCCAGGCGTGCTATCATGTGGCTTTTTCTCAGGAGTGGCTTTCCTCTGGCCACTCTCCCACAAAGCCCAGATTAGTGAAGTGCTGTAGAGACTGTTGTCCTACTGGCAGGTTCTCCCAGCTCAGCCAAGGAACTCTGTAGTTCTGTCAGATTGTTCATTGGGTTCTTTGTCACCTCTCTGACTAAGGTCCTTCTTGCCCGGTTGCTCAGTTTGGTTGGATGGCCAGCTTTAGGCAGAGTCTGAGTAGTTCCATATTTGTTCAATTTCCCAATGATGGAGACCACTGTCCTCTTGGAAACTTTCAACACTCTAGAAATTGATTTATACCCTTCCCCAGATATAGTGGGGAGAACAAGTATTTGATACACTGCCGATTTTGCAGGTTTTCCTACTTACAAAGCATGTAGAGGTCTGTAATTTTTATCATAGGTACACTTCAACTGTGAGAGACGGAAAAAAAATCCTGAAAATCACATTGTATGATTTTTAAGTAATTAATTTGCATTTTATTGCATGACATAAGTATTTGATACATCAGAAAAGCAGAACTTAATATTTGGTACAGAAACCTTTGTTTGCAATTACAGAGATCATACGTTTCCTGTAGGTCTTGACCAGATTTGCACACACTGCAGCAGGGATTTTGGCCCACTCCTCCATACAGACCTTCTCCAGATCCTTCAGGTTTCGGGGCTGTCGCTGGGCAATACGGACTTTCAGCTCCCTCCAAAGATTTTCTATTAGGTTCAGGTCTGGAGACTGGCTAGGCCACTCCAGTACCTTGAGATGCTTCTTACGGAGCCACTCCTTAGTTGCCCTGGCTGTGTGTTTCGGGTCGTTGTCATGCTGGAAGACCCAGCCACGACCCATCTTCAATGCTCTTACTGAGGGAAGGAGGTTGTTGGCCAAGATCTCGTGATACATGGCCCCATCCATACTCCCCTCAATACGGTGCAGTCGTCCTGTCCCCTTTGCAGAAAAGCATCCCCAAAGAATGATGTTTCCACCTCCATGCTTCACGGTTGGGATGGTGTTCTTGGGGTTGTACTCATCCTTCTTTTTCCTCCAAACACGGCGAGTGGAGTTTAGACCAAAAAGCTCTATTTTTGTCTCATCAGACCACATGACCTTCTCCCATTCCTCCTCTGGATCATCCAGATGGTCATTGGCAAACTTCAGACGGGCCTGGACATGCGCTGGCTTGAGCAGGGGGACCTTGCGTGCGCTGCAGGATTTTAATCCATGACGGCATAGTGTGTTACTAATGGTTTTCTTTGAGACTGTGGTGCCAGCTCTCTTCAGGTCATTGACCAGGTCCTGCCGTGTAGTTCTGGGCTGATCCCTCACCTTCCTCATGATCATTGATGCCCCACGAGGTGAGATCTTGCATGGAGCCCCAGACTGAGGGTGATTGACCGTAATCTTGAACTTCTTCCATTTTCTAATAATTGCGCCAACAATTGTTGCCTTCTCACCAAGCTGCTTGCCTATTGTCCTGTAGCCCATCCCAGCCTTGTGCAGGTCTACAATTTTATCCCTGATGTCCTTACACAGCTCTCTGGTCTTGGCCATTGTGGAGAGGTTGGAGTCTGTTTGATTGAGTGTGTGGACAGGTGTCTTTTACACAGGTAACGAGTTCAAACAGGTGCAGTTAATACAGGTAATGAGTGCAGAACAGGAGGGCTTCTTAAAGAAAAACTAACAGGTCTGTGAGAGCTGGAATTCTTACTGGTTGGTAGGTGATCAAATACTTATGTCATGCAATAAAATGCAAATTAATTACTTAAAAATCATACAATGTGATATTCTGGAGTGTACATATGATAAAAATTACAGACCTCTAAATGCTTTGTAAGTAGGAAAACCTGCAAAATCGTCAGTGTATCAAATACTTGTTCTCCCCAATGTAAATGCATCATCACAATTCTATCTCGGAGATCTACAGACAGTTCCTTGGACTTCATGGTATAGTTTCTGCTCTGACATGCACTGTCAACTGTGGGACCTTATATAGACAGGTGTGTTTCTTTCTAAATCATGTCCAAACAATTGAATTAGCCACAGGTGGACTCTAATCAAGTTGTAGTGACATCTCAAGGATGATCAAAGGACATTGGATGCACATGAGCTCAATTTGAAGTGTCATAGCAAAGGGTTTGAATACTTACGTAAATTGATTATTTCTGTAATTCATTTTCAATAAATATGCAAACATTTCTAAAAACATTTTCACTTTGTCAGTATGGGGTATTGTGTGTAGATGGGTGAGAAAACAAATGAATTTAATCCAATTTTGAATTCAGGCTGTAACACAACAAAATGTGGAATAAGTCAAGGAGTATGAATCCTGTCTGAAGGCACTGTGTATGCACTGTTGTGAGTGATTGACCATTATTCCTCCCTCTGTGCAGTCACGCGTCGGGGAGTAGCTGGGTGACTCTGGCTGACCACGTGAAGACAGAGACCTTTGTCCTGAAGAACCTCAAGCCAGGTGCAGTCTACCTGTTCTTGGTGAGAGCAGCCAACGCCTACGGCCTCAGTGACCCCAGCCCTATCACTGATGCTGTCAGAACACAAGGTGAGACAACCCTCTCCTCTACCAGCTCTACCTGATGATAGAGTAACATTTATCTGATGACAGAGACACTGAGACTTAGTGGTTCTCATATCCTAACCACATGGCTTGGCTGGGGCAGAGTGAGTGCCTGAGTGAGCTAACCACTTCCTGTCTCTGTGTCCCCATGCAGACACCCCTCCCACAAGCCAAGGAGTGGACCACCGTCAGATCCAGAGGGAGCTAGGGGACGTGGTGGTCAATCTGCACAACCCCACCATCCTCTCCTCCTCCTCCGTCAGGGTGCAGTGGACAGTGAGTAGAGTCCTGGCCCTGGGCCTAACTGGGCCTAACTGGGCCTAACAGGGCCTGGGCTGTCTGCAGATAAAGTCCTGCCAGAAGAGGTTACCCTAGTGTTTGTCTGTGTCAGCTGTTTTAGAATTATTACACCCAGTTTCTTACACTGCTTGTTCTGTTGGTCTCCCTACACCGTGCTGTGCTGGCATGGCTATGCCTAATATTCACAAAAGGCTACACAAATATGATTACATTTATTGAGAAATGATGTTCTTCAGAACACATAGTTGAGTCTGTAGGCATAGACTGTGCTGTATAGCCAGCTGTGTGAAGATGTGGGTAGGATGTGGAACTATTGGCCTAATCAAGACCACCTGTGCTGACAGAGTGAGTTTTGATCCTGGCCTATGATAGAGGACGTTTATACGTTGTGAGACGTTTCTCCCTCTCTCCCCCATGAAGGGCTAAGGGTTAGTTCCATCAGTGATGTATGAGCTGACATCTGCACATGTCAGGGGTGCAGTCCTAAACAGAGCCAGAGTGTTTAGTTGAGCAGGGCCAAAGCCAGGCAACCAGGCAGGGAGAAGGCATCCCCATGGCCAGCATCTGTGGACGTTGGTTGGAGGGTTTTTGACTTTCAGCATACGTGGACAAACAATTATTAATAGGGCCACTGCACAGTACACACGAACATGATACTTAAAAAAATGGGTGATAACACTTTGTTATAGGCCATTGCCAAGTAACAAGTCATGGGCCCAGTCATTCATAAAGTGCTTATGAAGTGCTAGGTTCCTTAGCTGTATCTACGATACCTAACTCTGAGGACAATGTTTCTGTGAGTACTGGTTAGCAGTGTCCTCCTGGCAGTGTCCTAACCAGTCCCAGGCTCTCAGGAAACTGGCGGCTAGTGATGACCTCATGCTGTGGTTTCTCTGAGCTCTGGGAGATGAGAGGGGGTGTAACCTAAGCTCTCCCGTGGGCTCGGGGGACAACATAGCACAGGGCTAAAGACCTCTCCTGGAGGATGTTCTCTGTATATGGTTACCAGCCCAACACACGTAGCAGGAGAGTTATGGTTCATAATTTATATTACTTTTGAATGTGGTGTTTTTCTACATGCGACACACTGGCCAACATCTGCGAGCACTGTTCTACAGTATGTCCTGCTGGTATAATGGCTCTTTGACACTGGCTTCATAGATCCCAGAGGCTTACAATTAAATTGCTTTTGGTTGGAACTACAATATTAAAAATCAATGGCCATGGCAACCAACATTTTATAGTTATTTAATAGACTAATTTACAGTTGTGTTCCTTTTTCCAGTGTGGGAAGTAGGGGTGCTACACAAAATGAGTGAACTGGGCCTTTATTACTCCCCCCCCTCGACAGCACCCCCAACCCAAAACATCTTCCCGCGGCCATAACACTTCTTCTAAAATGTATGATGCCAGCTAAGAAATCCTAATATCTATTTCCCTTCTCTGCCACTAGGTGGAGCAGCAGTCTCCGTACATACAGGGTTATAAGGTGATGTACAGGGCGTCTGCTGAGCTGGGCCAGCCAGGGGGGCAGTGGGGCGTGTTCGAGGTGCGGACCCCTGGAGAGGACGGTGCTGTGGTGCCTCAGCTGAAGAAAGGGGTCACCTACGAGTTCAAAGTGCGTCCCTTCTTTGATGAGTTTCAGGGAGCGGACAGCGAGGTTAAGGTGGCCAGGACGCTGGAGGAAGGTAAGAGGCTGGGGTCAGGGGTCAGGGGTCAAGGGCTGCTGTTAGAGAGGGTTGTGATTGGAAGTGTGGACGGAGATGAAAGGTTTCATACAGCCGTTATAGTGTTAGGTTGGATTAGGTTGTTTTGTGAGAGTTTTAGTAGTCTAGGCAAGTTAAAACAAAGACAATGACATTTTACATGTATAAGTAAATGAATGACAATTTTGAGAAACCATAACACATCCCTTACACCATACTGTGCTTACTAATTGTTCCAGAGAGATGTGTGGACATTACTGAATGGTTGTAGTAATCAACATTGGAGAGGTTTGGGAGTTTCACATTGTTTAAAGCTTATATGTGTGTAGTGACGGTTCCAAAGGGCTCTTACAGTTTGTGTACTCTGTATAGATGAGTGCGTAGCAGCAGCTGTGGAGACAAATTGCGTTGTTAATTGTTATCTGAGTTTATACGTAGAGCCCCAGCGAGCCCGAGACAACAGACATGCCTGCTTTCATTATCTTTAACCAGGAGGTGACTAAGCTCCCGAGGCCAATGCACTACTGATTCAGTTTAATTGCTCTCATCAGGTGACTAGCACCATCACCACAGCACAGGACACAAAGCCTCCAGGCATTACCAAAGCTCCAGCAATGTACCATTCAACACAGCATCAGCTCAGTCAATTCCTGTATTATATTGATGAAAAACTTGCCACATTGACCTGTGGCTTCATGTGGGTTTCATACCCGTAGGCAGATAATTGCAAGAGGATGTAGAGGGATGAGCGAGATAGCATTCCATGCCCCAGCTCGTCAGAGAAAACATTGTTGCACATTTTCAAAAATCTGCTCACCTTACAAATGCTAACAATTATCACAACATGAATACAAATGATTCATTCTAGTTCCATAACTTTACAATTCAAAACATTTTAAGATATTAACCTTGATTTATTCCACAAAATGTTCATTAGCTAGTTATGATCATTCTGTTCAGTAACATTCCTCTTGTTTAGAGCTTACTGTATGTATTCAGAATACTCTAAAACTACTGCATATGTGGCAGGCTGATGCATGTGATTTGAATTGTCACTAAGTGTTCTTTCATGTTCAGTAAGAGACATGGCAGACGCTGAGCATAGCTCAAATGAGAGTGAATGTCTTTGATGTCATCATGATGTCTGTGTGTCTGTCTGACGGTGTATTACTGTCTCAGCCCCCAGTGGAGCCCCCCGGAGCATTACCGTGACGAAGAGCGATGCCAATGGGACCGCCATCCTGGTCACCTGGCAACCACCTTCCGAAGAGGAACAGAACGGAATGGTACAGGAGTACAAGGTAAGATGGAGGGAGGGGAACAAACAGAGAGAGGTATAGAGCAGAACCTCAAGCCTCACACCTTTTCCCTCAAACTTCCTTGGGTGTGTGTGTTTTTAGTTGCTTCAGCAAAGGTGGACCAAGTATTGATGAGGCATTGCCATCTACTGGGCTAATGTTGAAATGTCTTAAAACAGGTATTTTGGCATTTACTGAAAGAACCAAGTCCCACTCTTACTATCATCCTCCCGCCTTCTTATACCCTCTCCTCTCCAGATCTGGTGCCTGGGCAACGAGAGCCGTTACCACATCAACCGGACAGTAGATGGCTCCACCTTCTCCGTGCTGATCCCCAGCCTTGTGCCAGGGATACGCTACAGCGTGGAGGTCGCCGCTAGCAATGCCGCCGGCCCAGGGGTCAAGAGCGATGTCACCTTCTTTCAACTTGGTGAGCTGGTCAACTGTAGTTAACACCTGATAGCCTCCCCTAAATTTAGAGCTTCTAAAAATACATTTCAAACGTTATCTGATCTCAGAACCAGGAAGCGGAGAGGTGATTTCAGTGTTAATCCATTATCTTTGTCACTGTCTACTTCAGGTCAACACCAGTTCATCCTGTCTAAGCTCTTTTCATTTGTAGCCATCGGATAGATGGTCTGTGTGATTTGCATACTGTGTCAGTTCTCACCATGACCAATGTACACATTACAGGGTGTCTGTCTCAAGTCCCGACATGAACATGTCCCTGAGTCAGCTCACATTGCTTTTAGTTAGGTATCATCATCATCAAAAATAATTACCATTTAGCTGTCTCCTGCCCTAGTCTCAGTTTCACCATACGTAACAAAAAGCACACACACCACAGACACTCGATTTTCCACCTCTCCTTCTTCTTAGCACATTCCAGCCTTTTCACATGATCCATATCAAGTGTTTAGAGTAACTTCATGGAGCCAATTCATTAAGAAAATGTCACCTTGAGTCAAGTCTCAAACCTTGGCGTCCAGTTCACCTCTTGGCCTATCACTCTAAAGAGGAGCAGAGAATGAGAACATTCTTCATGACAGATTATGTGTCCAGATGTCTTTAGAGATATCTCCTTTCTCCAGCTGACTCTCCTATCTCCTCTCTATAATGTTGTTTTTCATCTCAGACTCCTGCCCTTCAGTTGAACTTTAATGTTTTGAAGGACTGATGTTTGTCCTTCAGGATCAGCCTCACTTTCTATGATGGATATACTATGTACATGTTCTACGTGTCAATCTCCTCTCCTCCTCTTCCTCCCCCTCTCCTCCAGACTCTAAGGGTCAGATGATGGACAGTCCTGAGGACCAGGACACGCTATCTCAGATCTCAGACGTGGTCAAGCAGCCGGCGTTCATAGCGGGCATCGGTGCCACCTGCTGGGTGGTCCTCATGGTGTTCAGTGTGTGGCTTTACCGCCACCGCAAGAAGAGGAGCGGCCTTAGCAGCAGCTACGCCGGTATACGCAAAGGTCTGTAGTAGATGTGGGTTTAGGTGTATATATCGGTGTGTGTATGGGTGACTGTGTGTGTGTGTATTGGTGACTGTTTTTATTTTTTTATTTTTTTTATTTCACCTTTATTTAACCAGGTAAGCCAGTTGCGAACAAGTTCTCATTTACAACTGCGACCTGGCCAAGATAAAGCAAAGCAGTGCGATAAAAACAACAACACAGAGTTACATATGGGGTAAAACAAAACATAACGTCAAAAATACACCAGAAAATATATAGTGTGTGCAAATGTAGTAAGTTATGGAGGTAAGGCAATAAATAGACCATAGTGCAAAATAATTACAATTAGTATTAACACTGGAATGATAGATGTGCAAGTGATGATGTGCAAATGGAGATACTGGGGTGCAAATGAGCAAAATAAATAACAATATGGGGATGAGGTAGTTGGGTGGGCTAATTTCAGATGGGCTGGTAAGGTGCTCTGACAACTGCTAAGGTGCTCTGACAACTGATGCTTAAAGTTAGTGACACTGTGTGTGTGTATGGGTGACTGTGTGTGTGACTGAGAACTTTTTCTTTGATGTCAGTGTCTTTGAAGGTGTTTACAGTATTATACTGCAGTCAGTAGAGTGTCAAAGGTGGATCACACCCAGCTAATATGTTGTTGTGGAGAGATTGGAGGGACAAGAGAAGAGATGCTGATCATGACAGTGATTAGATGAGGAGGGGTGGACGGAGGGAGGGAGGACATTAGGTTGGTGTTGTGGTCATTTGGCTGAATGCTGGTAACCTGAGCTCACTGACACACAGGTTAGACACTGTCCTCTGTGTCACCAGGGTAATTGCATTTATTCACTTCAATCACATTAAGGTGTGTTTTTCTGCAGTAGCCTATAGCGTGACTGGCCTAGTGTCAGTTGCTTTAATCCTCAAAGTAGGGAGCCTGATAACCACATCTCACCCATAAAAGAGGTTTGTTCTAATCTTCTCCCCTGACTCAAAGAACTCAAAGGGTAGTGACGATCAGACGCCTAGCTGGCACATCCCAGATTACGCTGACATTCAAACGGTGACATTTAGGGCTCATTTCCAGGCCAGCGCCTGCCGCCTCTCCCTGGTGAGACACAGTTAGAGTAGGGACTGTCAGCCAGGTATTATGACATGTGTTCTATCACTGTTATCGCCGTCACTCTGACCACAGGTGACCTCCATTACCCACAAGGCCACTTGTTCCTGAAACCACTGCGGTAGTGATTGGTGCGTGCGCGTGCGTGCGTTTGAGTGTGTGTGCGCACATCAATATGTCTGGCGGTTTTTGTGGGGCTTTTTTCACAGGCTTACGAAATGTATATTTTGCAATCAATAAATGACCCCTCTTCTCACTTTCTCTCCCATCTCCTTTTTCTCTCCTTCCCTCCCTCCTCTGTTTGGCCTTGGGTGTGTTCCTGCAGTTCCATCATTCACCTTCACTCCCACGGGTATGTATGAATGTATTCTGCTGTAAACATGTATTTGTGTGCTGAAGGCACAGCTATTTACCCATATGTGTACTGACCTTGAAGCCCCTATGATTCAGAGATGCCTGTACACAAACACAGTTCTCTCCTTATGTACTCTGTTCCTCCCAGCACTCAAGGCCAATCTATTCTCATATACAAACAGCTAATTGACTTAGTGTATAAGTTAGGTGGCCTCACATCCATAAACCAATTATTTAAAAATATATATTTCAGACGGAGGTCAGTACAGGGCTGTGAAGGGATGTTCTGACATTACATTTACACTTGACATTTTAGTCATTTAGCAGACGCTCTTATCCAGAGCGACTTACAGTTAGTGAGCGCATATATTTACATACATGATGTGAATCAGGTGACAGACAGCTCCTAAAGAGGTCATTAGCCCCTCCCTGTCCCATCCTCTTAGATCAGACATAGACAACTGACACACAACAAAGCATAAGGGAAAGGGGGATACCTAGTCAGTTGTACAACTGAATGCATTCAACTGAAATGTGTCTTCCGTATTTAACCCAACCCCTCTGAAACAAAGGCAGACAGTGCTGCTGAGTCACGATGCTTTGTGACGAGTAGAGAGGCATAACCACAGTCCCATGTTCCCACTTGTCCTTAACATACTGACTGTATTGTAGCAGTAGGATAGTGTATCTAATCATGTGGTTGAGGTGACTCACCCTCCAGTGAAGAGGACATGTCTGAATTGAAGGGGGATCGTTCATTGTGAAGTGTGCCTCAGGGTCGAGATATCACGTTTTACACTCTCACACTGATTTTGTTTTTCTGCATGTACATCTCTCAACGCCAAGTGCCCCGTGTGTGGGTTACCTGTGTGTGTGTGTGTGTGTTTGTGTGTGTGTGTGTGTGTTTGTGTGTGTAGAGTATGACTCATGACAGGATGTGTCTATCAGTTGTGAGTCAGACTGAAGAAAGGACAGCTGGATGAGTACAGAATGACAGACAGGTCACACCAACCTGGATTTCCTCTTTCATTTGTCATGCTGGTTTCTTTCTTGTGTTTCTCACATTTGTTCTCTTTCTTTGATTCAGTGGCCTATCAGAGAGGAGGAGAGTCTGTCTGCAGTGCTGGGAGGTAAGGGGCATCATCCCAATGTGTGGTTATATGTGTACACTTTACCAGATAGGCTTTTCCCACTGTCTATATAGCACGTATTATGGTGTTTGAGAAATGCAGGAGGGTAGGTGGTAAAAGCAACAACAGTATATTCCCTACTCTAACCACCAGAGGGAGTTCTCTCCCTGTCTAATAACTGACGAAGGACAGAAACTCCCATACACATCCCTGACTGAAACCCAGTTTACTTGACTTGGAGTAAAAGCTTGTTCTGTGTGATAATGGTTTTGGTTGTGTGGTTCTGGTTCAGACCTGGGCTGCTGAACATGGGGGAGAGTGTGAACCAGCCGTGGCTGGCAGACTCCTGGCCGAACGCCTGTGCCAACCACAAAGACTGCAACATCAATTGCTGCAACAGTGGCAACGGCACCAGCGACAGCAACATGACCACCTACAGCCGCCCAGGTCAGTAACGCTACAGACCTCTTCTGGTGATAGTGGTCAGGTGCCAGTAGTGGAACATATGGTATATAGAGATATAATGCAAATCAAATGAGCAATGGAAAATTAAACATGGCTTCAACATAAAACATGATAATTAATGGTGTTATGTATAGGACTTGACTTCCTGTGTGAAGGGTTAATGAAGGGGTAAAGTGTTACTAGACCTAACCCCATGTGGTCTCCTCTCCATAGCCGACTGCATCGCCAACTATGGCAGCCAGCTGGAGAAGCAGCAGGGGGGTCTACTGGGGCCTGAGCAGGCTGTGTACAGCGACGTGGACCTCTCCAACAAACTTAACGAGCTCAAGACTTTCAACAACCCCAGCCTGTGCTACATGGGCCCAGGGGGAGGGCCGCCCACCCCCTACGAGCCCACCCCCTACGCCACCACCCAGCTTATCCAGTCCAGCATCCTGAACAAGGCTGCAGCAGCTGGGGCCGGAGCCCCTGACATACGCTGTTGGAACCAGCCCCCCTCCCAGCTGCAGAAATCACAGATGCAGTATAACATCATGGAGCAGAACAACAGGCTTAATAAAGGTGAGAGGATTGGAGACTTACAGTAGCAGTGGTTGGAGGGAGGGTATTTCAGAAGTTAATTATGTTTTACTTTATTTGTTTTACTCTGTGTAGTCAACATCAGGGGCTCAAGGAACTTTTTCATGGGGGGGGGGGCTGAAGTGGGGACCAAGAACCATTAATGTGAAATTATAATGAACATAGGGAAGATATTCAAGTTAGATACATGTTCAGTGGTAACTCCCTTCTCCAAGGATTTGTTTCCCCTCCAAGGAATTCTATGAAAGATTAAGCTGATTTACAGCATTTCTAATTTAAAAGCCCTAAAATGCTATTTGGAGAACAGCAAAAACAAGCAAAAATGACTCCAGCGTTATCACCTCGGCTGCTGTAGCTTCATTAACCTCAGTCGATAAGGGACATACACAACATTCTACAAAAACATGACATATAGCAATTAGCTGCTACACACTAGCTCAGCCCAGTTTCCTGTCAAGTCAAACAGCAGTTACGAAGCCATCTTTCACCTCTGCACTTTGTCAACTGAGAGAGAAGTTGAACTGTTCACTGCATCTGGTCAATCTGCTCTCCATAGTCCTAAAGCCAGCCAGCCAAGCAAAGTCTTCGCGCCTGCTCCAAACCTCTAATACCGCTAAACAGCCTGCCCGCTGCCTCTGAGCCATCTGCAAGGTCCTAAAGCCAGCCCAATTCTGCTTGACTGCCAGAACAAACGCACCAACCTTTCCTTTCCAATCTGAGCCAGACTGACAGCACTCTGACTAAATGAGAATGGGGGGATGCCACCCCATGACCCCCCTTTGGCAACGCCCCTGGTCAACATATCTGTTTAACTCAGGCTGTCTCTTTCTCTCTGTCGCTGCTGTGTCTTCAGACCACTATAGAGGAGATGGGCCCCTGCAAGGCACCATCCCCTATAACCAGGCCCATGAACACAGCACAGGAGGCTCCCACCACAGCTCTGACAGGGGCAGCAACAGTACCTCTGGTGAGAGACTGAGCACTCTGATTATAGCAATAGGACAAATAAGTATTTTGTTCTGCAGTATGTTCGAATAGTTTTTTCTATTGTCTCTGCAGGGAGCCAAAGTCATAAGAAGGGAACTCGCACCCCCAAACTGCCCAAAACTAACACAGTGAACTGGGGTGAACCTCTGCCCCCTCCCCCTGCCAACCCCCCACCAAGCCGGAGCTGTGATGAGTATACCCTGCACATGGAAAAAAGCTTTAACCCAGATGCCCCATGCCCAATGCTTACCTCACGGATGTACCTGCATCCGGATGAGATGGAGGAGGAAGAGCAGGAGGCGGACGAGGGTATGGATAGGTGTCCCACTCCCCCTGTCAGAGGGGCAGCCTCTTCCCCTGCGGGTATGTCCTACAGTCACCACTCTACAGCCACTCTCACCCCCTCACCCCAAGGAGACCAGCACAACAGCCTACACAACGGAACAGACCACCACAGGTAACTATGAGCCCAACTCACACTGCATCTCACTCATCCCAGCTACAACTGTTTATTGATCCATGCTTTGATCCTTTCCCTTTTTCCCTTCTTAGACAACACGCAGCCAGCCCACCCCCTCCCCCGCGCCCCCTCTCCCCTCCACACACCTACGGCTACATCTCCAGCCCCCTGGCACTGGATACTGATGGGCAGGAGGAAGAGGAGGAGGAGGATGAAGAAGAAGAAGAGGCAGCGGATGAGACGGATGCGGAGATGGCCCAGGGTCACTACCACCAGCACCAAAATAACCCCCAGCCCCACCAGAAACAGCCCCACCACCAGCACCACCCTCCCCCACGCAGGCTGCACCTCCGGGGGCTGGAGCAGACGCCGGCCTCCAGCACTGGGGACCTGGAGAGCTCCGTGACGGGCTCCATGATCAACGGCTGGGGCTCGGCCTCCGAGGAGGACAACGGCTCGTCAGGACGCTCCAGTGCCATCAGCTCCTCAGACGGATCCTTCTTCACAGATGCAGACTTCGCCCAGGCTGTGGCAAACACTGGGGACTACACAGCAGGCCTACGCATGGCCAGGTTCCCAGAGGACACAGGGCCAGCAGGTGAGGAGGAAAGGGAAGGGTCAGAAGAAAAATACTAGATATACAGTTGAAGTCGGAAGTTTACATACACTTAGGTTGGAGTCATTAAAACTCGTTTTTCAACCACTCCACAAATTTCTTGTTAACAAACTATAGTTTTGGCAAGTCGGTTAGGACATCTACTTTGTGCATGACACAAGTAATTTTTCCAACAATTGTTTACAGACAGATTATTTCACTTACAATTCACTGTATCACAATTCCAGTGGGTCAGAGATTTACATACACTAAGTTGACTGTGCCTTTAAACAGCTTGGAAAATTCCAGAAAATGATGTCATGGCTTTAGAAGCTTCTGATAGGCTAATTGACATAATTTGAGTCAATTGGAGGTGTACCTGTGGATGTATTTCAAGGCCTACCCAGTGCCTCTTTGCTTGACATCATGGGAAAATCAAAATAATTCAGCCAAGACCTCAGAAAAAAAATTGTAGACCTCCACAAGTCTGGTTCATCCTTGGGAGCTATTTCCAAATGCCTGAAGGTACCATGTTCATCTGTACAAACAATAGTACGCAAGTATAAACACCATGGGACCACGCAGCCGTCATACCGCTCAGGAAGAAGACGCGTTCGGTCTCCTAGAGATGAACGTACTTTGGTGCAAAAAGTGCAAATCAATCAACAGCAAAGGACCTTGTGAAGATGCTGGAGGAAACAAGTACAAAAGTATCTATATCCACAGTAAAACTAGTCCTATATCGACATAACCTGAAAGGCCGCTCAGCAAGGAAGATGCCATTGCTCCAAAACCGCCATAAAAAAGCCAGACTACGGTTTACAACTGCACATGGGGACAAAGATCGTACTTTTTTGAGGAATGTCCTCTGGTCTGATGAAACAAAAATAGAACTGTTTGGCCATAATGTGGCCATAATGTGGTCCTCTGTGGCTCAATTGGTAGAGCATGGCACTTGTAACGCCAGGGTAGTGGGTTCGATCCGCGGGACCACCCATACGTATAAATGTATGCACACATGACTTTAAGTTGCTTTGGGTGAAAGCGTCTGCTAAATGGCATATTAATAATTAATATTAATATTAATAATGACCATCGTTATGTTTGGAGGAAAAAAGGGGGATACTTGCAAGCCGAAGAACACCATCCCAACCGTGAAGCACGGGGTGGCAGCATCATGCTGTGGGGGTGCTTTGCTGCAGGAGGGACTGGTGCACTTCAAAAAAATTGATGGAATCATGAGGAAGGAAAATGATGTGGATATATTGAAGCAACATCTCAAGACATCAGTCAGGAAGTTAAAGCTTGGTCGCAAATGGGTCTTCCAAATGGACAATGACCCCAAGCATACTTCCAAAGTTGTGGCAAAATGGCTTAAGGACAATAAAGTCAAGGTACTGGAGTGGCCATCACAAAGCCCTGACCTCAATCCTATAGAAAAGTTGTGGGCAGATTTGAAAAAGCGTGTGCGAGCAAGGAGGCCTACAAACCTGACTCAGTTACACCAGCTCTGTCAGGAGGAATGGGCCAAAATACACCCAACTTATTGTGGGAAGCTTGTGGAAGGCTATCCGAAACGTTTGACCCAAGTTAAACAATTTAAAGGCAATGCTACCTAATACTAATTGAGTGTATGTAAACTTCTGACCCACTGGGAATGTGATGAAAGAAATAAAAGCTGAAATAAATCATTCTCTCTACTATTATTCTGACATTTCACATTCTTAAAATAAAGTGGTGATCCTAACTGACCTAAAACAGGGAATTTTTACTAGGATTAAATGTCAGGAATTGTGAAAAACTGAGTTTAAAAGTATTTGGCTAAGGTGTATGTAATCTTCCGACTTCAACTCTACCTTCTTATATAAACATCCATGTACTGAATGTTTGTATGTTCCCTCAGGGCGAAGGCACCATCGTCCCAGCAGCCCCCTGTCCACAGACAGCAACATGAGCTCTGCAGTGATGCAGAAGAGACCGCCCAAGAGGCACAAGCAGCACCAGGCCCAGGCTGGCCACCAGCAGAGGAACGACTTCACTGATGGTAAGGGACTGGGTCTGAGACACGGGTCACTTCACGGAACGGCTCTCACATTGACTTCTCTCAGCTGTACCATACAAATTCCTTGGTAAATAAAGTCTGAAGTTCCATTTCTGTGTTCTTCTCTCCTCAGACTCCTGTATGCCCTTGAAGTCTCCTAGTCACATGTCGCGGTGTGGCTATGAGGTGAGGGGGGCCACGCTCCCTAGGATTGGCTCTGGGGAGGGTCGGGGCCGGAGAGGGAGTGCAGGGGGCCAGAGGACCAGAGAGGGCTCTGTGGAGAGACGGGAAGCCCAGGACAAGAACAGGACTCCACAGGGAGGCCAGAGGACCAGAGAGGGCTCTGTGGAGAGACTGGAGGCCCAGGACAAGAACAGGACTCCACAGGGAGGCAAGGGGAGCAGCAAAGCCCGTCAACACCCAGGTACTTACTGCAATGTAGTCTACTTCCAATGTGGTTTGTGTATTGGAACAAAGTAGCGCAAATATGAGCTTTATAACTTTATGCTTTTATGTGGTTCCTACATGTCAAAATAAATCCCCTTGAATCCCTCTCTGTCCCAGGTTCTGAAGACATCCTCCCGTACAGCAGGCCCTCGTTCCCCTCGGTGCAGGGCCAGAGCCAGGCTCAGAGCTCCTCCAGCTCCATGTCCTCCCGGGGCTCAGGGGGCCGGAGGAGAGATGGGGCCCCCGGGGCCCGTAGGAACCCCACAGACACGCTGCCCAGCATCGCAGGCTTCCAGACCCAGGAAGAGGAACTAGAGGTGAGAACAAGATACTCATAAAAGTGTTAGTTTACTCTTTTCCATTAGTTGAAATTCTATGCCCAAAATCTAGTATGTCTATGAGCTTATTTTGATGGCCATTATTCGAGGGGTTGCATTATAAACTTGTGTCTTGTGTCCGCAGCTGCTGGAGAGCTGAGGATCGTGGGAAGAGGACAGGAAACCCCCACAATGCCCTCACAGGAAGGCTTGAATCTGACATCAGTGACTATTATGTAAATTACTTTTCTTATCATACAGAAGAAGGAAAAAAAACAGAACAATACTTAATATTAGTTTTTCTTTTTACAATTTCTCATTTGATGCCATTTTGGAGGGAAAAAGAAAGTGAGAGAAAAAAGGTGCGATCACGGTTCAGTTTGTGCACTCACTGGTATGAAGCATTATTAGATCATTGTTTACTTGAGTTGTTGGTTGAGAACTGGCTTCCGCCAGACTCTGTGGTGAGCTAGTGCCTAATATGAAAGTACATGCACATTAGATAACTGTTGTATACAGATACCTTGTCTAGGACCACCTGCTGTGTGGTACCTCAGACTGGTCTTGGCATGTCTGTTGCGCCTGTTATATTACTGTAATTAATATTTGGACTTCACCATCCATCTTGTAAATTGTTCGGTCATTTTGCTGAACAAATTTGCTACAATGGGATTTTTACATTTCTTTTTAATGTATTTTTGTAATGCACTGTTATTGTTTTGTTATTGATGTTGGTCTTGTCAATTTGCGTTATTTGTTCTACTTTGGTTTCAAAAGCACAATCACTTAACTTTATTTTAAACCATTGTTATCTATGACGTTCCGTCTTAAAAGAGGAACAATGATAAAAAATAATGTTGTTAATCGTTTTCTGTATACGATTGAACTAGTGTTATGTGTCTTAATATTCTGTTTATGTTAAGGATTGGGATGGAAACGAGAATCCCCTGTCTAGCTTAGGTTTAATTGAAACCAGAGTGATCATTTGGACTGAAGGGGACATTGCCCAAAGCAGTGACCACATTCATCCATTTATTATGACACAAACTACTGTGTTGGTCGGACTATACCCTCATGTCTACAAATGCACTTATGAGGAAGTGAGAGAGACAGGAGACAAGCTGAGGGACACATTGTACCAATAGAGAAGGGTGAGGAAGCCCCATTTCTCTTACTAGTAGTCTCATTTCCAGATAAGTTAAGGGTGGAAATGTTGATGGATCCATCCTGGAAAATGGACTTATCCATGCCTGATGATGGGTAGCATTTTCTCCATAAGCAACCAGCACACAGTGACACATCCACCATTGTTTCCCAACAAGACAGGGTTGAAGGAAGTGAAATTAATACTGACCCAAAAAAAGGACTGGTGACGAAATACTGGGACTTGAAAATCCTGCAGCTTGGAGATGGAACAGCATGTTGTTGTTGGGTTTAGCTCCGTTATGGCTACATCTAGGCCAAGCTTTGAGGCCATTTCTTTACTTCCTACACATGTACAAAATATGTGAAACGATGTTCGCTGAGGACACCTGACATTTGTTTGGAGTTTGCCATGTTTAAAAGAATTACACAACTATGTTCATGATGTCAGCCATGATATTTCATTTCATTACTGAGTATGTTATAAATGAGATGAAAAAAAACATTGTCATTTTACCACATTATTTATTATTAAAATGTCTTCAAATGCCACTGTCCCTTTTGAGATCTCTTCTTATTTTGGGTGGTTCCATCTTTGTTCACTTGTTAGGTTAAAGCCTTATTCCTCTAGCATTGCACCAGTCAATAGAGCCTAACACAAGGTTGAAGTAAAGAAGGAAGTTGGGAGATGGCGAGGAAGAGGGAAAGCCACCCAAAAGCCTGTTCTTTATGGGAATGTGATGAGACACGCTGTTTAATTAACCTCACTCATGAACCCTCGTGGTTAATTAACAGAGCAGCTGTGTGCTGTCAAAAGGAAAGAGACGCTCTGGAGCCTAGCACAGGTGTGGCTCTCGGTGTGTGTGTCACATGTATGTATGTATGTGTGTGTGTGTGTGTGTGTGTGTGTGTGTGTGTGTGTGTGTGTGTGTGTGTGTGTGTGTGTGTGTGTGTGTGTGTGTAGTGGGGGATGGATGGCATTCAAAACTACAGCTACAAGCGGCAGTCAAAATCCTTTCTTTGTCCTCCTCTGAGAGCAAGATTGTGATGTAGAGAAATAAGCTGTCAATCAGCTACCCACATACAGACTCCTCCAGAAAGAGTGTAATGTGTTCCTATTGTTTAACTGTAAGTACATCTCTGCATAATCAGCGAGAGCAGAGCAGGAGACAGATGCTGAGCTGCTGGAAGTCCTATAACTGATGGAACTACACAATTGTATTCCATGATAGATGGGACAGATTGCTGTTATAGCTGAAACTTCTTTCGCCATCAGAGTGGAATGAAGTGTCCCGGCAGCTGTACAGGGCTGTCTGTAAAGGCTAGCTACCTATACATTGATATCCATAGCCCCAGTTACCGCAGTGCTAACCCGTACCATAAAGGGTCAACACAATTAACCCAGCAAAACCATCCTGTAGCCTCTGCTGCTGCTTCTAGCCCACTATATCTGCCCCCCCACCCCCTCCCCACACTCTAATTCCCTGTGGTTCACCAGTAGGACCTGCTGAGGGAGTCAAACTCATGCATTTCTATCCTTTTTGCGCTCTCCATTAATTAGGTCATCATCTATATTTCCCCTGTACCATTCAGTTGTCTGTGGGAAAGGATGACTCAGATTTACTGCTTTAAGTTAACGGTAAAGTGTCTGAGGAGAGGCCTTATGACAGTTATGTGTGAGTTATTTAGCCTAATCTGGTGGGCTCCACTTAAATTCAATATTGCAAATTTATCCAGATATATTACAGTAACTGAGTTTAAGGGTTAAAATTTAACATGCACGCGCACACACACGCACGTAAGCATTCTCGCGCACGAACGCACGCACGCACACACACATACACACACTCCCCTGGCTATCAGAGTAGTGTGCAGGCTTTGATGATGGATCACAGTCGAGGCGAGACATGCTTTTCCTGTCAGCATCAGAAAATAAACAGAGTCTATCGATCTTCATTATGCCCGTGTGGACAGCCTCTGAGGCCGCTACCCAGGAAGAGGGGCATTACTGGTAATGGAGTCTTTAGAGCAGTCCTGGGAGACTGGGACTGCTGGCTGGCTTCCATAGGCCTCAAACTACACTGAAATGGTTGCATTTATAGAGAGGAGAGACCACTTTAAGAACTTACAGTCAATTTCAATGGGCGAACCCACAAACGCAGAGCACTGCTTAAATGTGGACAGACGAGGTCTTGAATGTGATGAATACTGCTTGATTTTCTGTCCCTCTGGGTTTCAGTTCTCGCTGATCACAGCTAGTCTAATGCCAGGGTTGGAAATGCAATTTGGTCAAATATTGAAATCAATAGCTTCTCATTTGCCACAGTAAGCTGAATAAGGATTGCTTTCAATCTGCCATTTCTCAAGTATTAAAGTCACTGTTCTGGGTCATGATTGAAGTGGTCAGTCGTCCATCAGTATGTTTCTCCACATCGATCTCCCTGGTACTCCAGCAGGCAGGCCTACCACAGTGCAGCAGCACTCAGAGCAGCTCACAGCACTTCTCAGTGGGGGGCAGAGAGAGAGAGAGAGAGAGAGAGAGAGAGGAGAGAGAGAGACAGGGAGAGACAGGGAGAGACAGGGAGAGGGAGAGAGAGAGCGAGAGATAGAGAGAGAGAGAGAGAGAGAGAGAGAGAGAGAGAGAGAGAGAGAGAGCGAGAGCGAGAGAGGGAGAGAGAGAGAGAGATAGAGAGAGAGAGAGACAGAGAAGAGAGAGAGAGAGAGAGAGAGAGAGAGAGAGAGAGAGAGATGAGAGAGAGAGACAGGGAGAGACAGGGAGAGGGAGAGAGGGTAATCCCCTGCCACTTCCTCCCCTGTTCTGCCCATGCAATTAAACCCACGCATCAGGATTAGACTGCCCCCCTGCCTGCCTCCCCCGTTTTTTCCCCTTCCATCCTTTTCCCTCATCCCCGTCCTCCCCCCTTCCCTCCACGCTGAGTCAATTAAACAATGACAAGAGGGATTTAATGCCCCTCTCTGCAGGCTCCTTCTCTCTCTAAGTCGTACCTCAATCAAACACCAGAGGAAGAGGAAATGGCTCTTAATTGTTGCCTGAATTTCTGTTCTAAACGGTTTCCATGAAATTAAGCCACACCCGCTCATCAAGACTGGCATTTACAGGCAAACGTCAGTTTAGATTTATTTATGATTTCACTTTGGTTTCCCCCTTTGATCATTCACACACAGCCATTACATTGCCAAAATGTGTTAATAAAATGTAAATTAGTATTCCTGTTAACTTCCTAGTGTCGATTGACCCACTATTGTGTTAATCTAAGTAACATAGTAAGACAATCCCCATCAAAATCCATCAGTTTAAGATAGAGATATCTGTTTTTTTGCAATTCCCCACATCCGCCTATGTTGCACTTTCGCATCTGCGGTGAAAGGTGGCAGAGCTAGAAAGGTGTCTGTCAGACCATGAGACAACCCAAAAATCGGTCTTCTCACAAAAATGTCTGTAGTGTCCGAACGGTTTGACCTACAAACTATGACCATTCTATGGAAAGGGGAGACTCTCACGAACACAATGGTGGTCTCCGTTTTGCTCTACGACCCCCACACATGTTAGGGGACTCGTCTGAAGTCGGTACCATCGATGTGCCAACTTCTGTTTGTAGCGTCCGAACCGTTTGACCTACAAACTATGACCCCACTGTGGAAAGGGGAGATTCTCATGAACACGATGGTGTTCGCAGTTTTGCTCGACCCCAACAAGTGTCACCGGACACGTCTGAAGGTAACCGGTACCGGTTGTAAAAAATTAATGGGAGTATGAAGGTAGTTTTGTGCCTACCCAAAACAGGTGTTAAATATGTGTAAAACAATATAATGTAATGGCATATTCAGGACTCTTCATTCAATATCCTACCGTTTAGTTTTGACCACGTAATGTTTTCCTGAAGTGTAGCCCACCTTCTGTCTGTCTGTCTGTCTCGCCCCTCCTCTCGTCATGCCAGTGTCTACTCTACGAGTGTTAATTTCCTGCTTCAGTGGAACGAGTCACTCCAGGAGTGGTTTGTGACAATCCTCCGACGCCAAGCTGGAGAGAGAACCCTTGAGTCGTCGCTTACTGTTTAAATTATTAACAGTAATGGTGCCAGTGGTGTGCAGCCACTCACAGTCCTCTGTACCTTCATTTCATCATTTAGGGGAAGGGAATGGAGAGGAGTGGGGCACAGCCATTTCTTCTCCCTGTTATTTCACTCTACTTAAATGTCATGAAATGAGCACATCAGCATTCCCAGAAATGTTTCCATCCAATTATAATGCTATTTTTGTGTGTTGTTTGTTGTTGTTTATAGATTGTATGCAAATGAAAACCTTATTATGTTATTCATGTGTGCCAGGACAACGCACACAATGCAATCCACTGTGTTATACAAGCATTATGCAGTCTATTTAGCAAATCTAAATGCACATGACTCTACAAGCTCTGCCATTATGACAGACATGCAGACAGGCAGGCAGACGGGCAGTTCGACAGGCAGACAGGAAGACAAGCAGACAGACAGACAGACAGACAGACAGACAGACAGGCAGGCAGGCAGGCAGGCAGGCAGACAAACAGGCAGACAGCTAGGGAGACAGGTCGGCAGACAAGCAGGCAGACAGAGAAGTCATACAGGACACAAATCTATAGAGGACATTGAAATGTCATTGTATTACCCTCCAGTCCCACATTGAAAGCAGTGTCAATGAAAATTCACACATAGCCCATACAGCCCCAGGGAATCACACCTCTTATTTTACCTTCACACTGCCCTAGGAGCAGGCCATATGGTTAGAGACACACACCATTGTCCTTAAGCTCTGGTGCCAAAGCAAACCATGCATCCACAGAGGGTGAATACTCTGTTCTAGCTTTAGAAGCCATGTGTTTCTGATGTGTGTGTGTGTGTGTGTGTGTGTGTGTGTGTGTGTGTGTGTGTGTGTGTGTGTGTGTGTGTGTGTGTGTGTGTGTGTGTGTGTGTGTGTGTGTGTGTGTGTGCGCGTGCGTGCATGTGCATGCGTGTGTGTGGATTTATTTACCTCAGTCTGTTTATCCTTGGGCTCATAAGTGATTAATGTAGGTGGCCTTCATGTCACTTTTATTTGATTAAGAGAGAAGAATAGCAGCTGCTTTGAAATAAAAGCAGTTAGATAAGCAAGCTGGTGTGTTGTTCACCCAAAGTACCAAAACTAAACATATAAAAAGGGTTGTTTGGATCCTTTTTTCAAGAAACCGTTTATCTTTTCCTGTGATGAAGACATGGATGTCTCATGGTATAGGGGGCAACTTTGAGCACCTTTATTTCCTGAATGTTTTGGCATCCAGGTCACTTTCTGACCACTTTTTCCATGGGCAAACATGTTTGGAAGGTTTTGATTAAACCAAAAGGGATGCTGTCAAAAAGTGATTGAATTCAAATGGATTTACCCAATAATGGATGTCATTAGAAACAAAGGTACAACAAACGAAAGTGCACATAGTTTTCTGTCATTTCATCTGCTTGATGTGATTGTGTGTTTGCTTTAGTTGGATAGCTAGCAAAGGAGAAGTAGCTACTGTAGCCTGCATAGCTATATGGCAATGATTTGTTTAGCATAGTAACCATTGCAAATATAGCTCGCCAGCTTGTAGTCCTAAAAAACTAAAATTAGTTCGCATTTTCTACCTCTAGTTCGTTCGCAATAGAGACCAATAGTAATGGCGTCTTTTTGTAGGCACTAACAGAGGCTAACTCCGCCATGGCTGGTTGGCCAAAACCTATGGGGAGATTAATTGGGTTTTTGGAGGGTTTTTGGATAAACTCAGAAAATAAGGTCTGTGGTAAACACAAAATCTTGGGAGATCTTATATGTTTTGTTCTATGAGATAATCTTCATCAGCTAACGTCACTTTTTGTGAAATTTGAAGCATTTATGTAGTCACATAAAGCACATAAAGGCTTCATAATTCATGAAGGTCATGATACAGTGGGGAAAAAAAGTATTTAGTCAGCCACCAATTGTGCATGTTCTCCCACTTAAAAAGATGAGAGAGGCCTGTAATTTTCATCATAGGTACACGTCAACTATGACAGACAAATTGAGAAAAAAAATTCCAGAAAATCACATTGTAGGATTTTTGATGAATTTATTTGCAAATTATGGTGGAAAATTAGTATTTGGTCACCTACAAACAAGCAAGATTTCTGGCTCTCACAGACCTGTAACT